ACTCGCGCTTCTCAGAAAAACAGATCAACAAGAAAGCGCCGCGGTGGCAGGCCGCCGATTTGCGTCATGTGCGCGATGCGCGAACAATTGCGGGAAGGAAGGAGAAAGAGAGAACGACGCGAGATCGACCCTGAACGTACCGCGACACGTGCTCTCGCACATGTCGAACGACGAAATTCGGAGCGACGACACGGCTGACGTAGAGCATTATTAGTTCTCCGTACACAGACGTCAACGCAATAGTTATCTTCTAAGAAAAAAATCGATTTGTCACGTGATTTCTTTCTGCATTAACTTGTCTTACATTCACCTAATGCATTGCGTAATTCAGAGTTTATTAGCAGTAATAAGGATTGTTATCGCCACGGCTGTTACCTTTTAAAATGTTAACGAAAAAGTCAGGACCGGCCTTAGGTATTACACGTTTCGTGGAGTTAACGAAATAAAATTAATAAAAAAAAATTAATAAAATAAAGTATAAAAAAATTTATGTCAGATTTTATTAAAACCTCGCAATAAAATGAAAAGCCAATAACGGAGGTAAGATCTCTGTGACTTTACTTCTGGTTCATTTACCGACTTGTTATTTTTATTAATTATTTTCATACACACGCGCATCGATTTGTGTGTAGAAATGAATGAGCTTATCCCAGTTCGAAGGCGCTCGTTTATCACAGATAGATGCGTAAACAGGGAACAAAAATGAAGTGAAGAAATAACGGCAGATATATACGAGAGCGATGACAAACAGAAGGCCAGATATTCGGCGAGGATTGACAACATCGTTTATTTATTCAGCCTGAAGACTATCGCGTGCGCATCTTAAGCCGGATTCAGATCGAATGAACGAGCGCGAACAACCGCGAATGAACAACTTACTTGAATGAGTACGCACTCATTGAAACAAGTTGTTCGTTACGTATATTAAGCTATCTAAGCTAAATTATCAGAACACAAAAAATTTTATATGGAATTAATTTGCTAATTATTATTTGCTATTTTTCGCTTTTAAAAGTAATTTTTTTGCTCCAGCTATTAAAAATTTACAAAGGGCTGGATAGCTTAATATACCTTTGTTCATTCGTCTTTGCTCGTATTCACTTACTTGGTCTGGATCCAGGTTAAGAGGTCTTTTCACGCCAAGACAATACTCGCGAATGGATATTTTTAAACTTTATCTTCCCTTCTAACTCTTATGAAAAATTCGACTATACGATAATATACATTCAACGCGCAGCTTCTCTTTCATTCAGAAAAATAAATCTTATTGTTAGTAAGCATTATCTCCGTTTAAGGCGTCAGTAAGTGTCGACAGTTTAACGAATCCTACAGATAAGAGAAAAAAGAATGAACTCGTCTCAATCAATCATTGTTCTACGGATATTGTGCTCGGAACGGATAGGCATCGTTTCCATGTCGGCAGTGAGAAGTTACGCGAGGCGGTTTACTCTAGATAAGATTACGGGCTCATTGTTGTTTACGTGTCATCATTGTAACTACATGACAGGAGGATGTGTGGGATCGTGACACCATGATTCGCTCGTTCTTGGTTATTAAGTGTAACCCGATACACTCTACACTCGCGATAAAAGCCTATTCAGATATTTATGCCGTTAATGATCACGCCATCGATACCGCAAAATTGTTTCCTATTTTTAAATAGGAATTATATGAAATAGTTCATTAATTGTTTTTTTTTTATTTCAAATATATAAATCGCATAAAGCTATAATGTTTGCTATAAAGAATATTTTACAATCACTGCATAGTTTAATAGCGTACTCTAAAGATATAAAATAATCGAAATTGATATCGTGTATCACAATAATATCGTGCAGAATTCGCACGTGATTACATGAGTACCAATCATGTCATCTGTCGATGTCTACATCTCAGTGGCAATTAATATATCTCACATATTTCTTGTCAGAATTATTTTTAATAACGCACATTAAGAATTATATATATTCCAAGTATTTCAATATAATAGCAACTGATGAATTTTAAGATAATCTATATAAATGATTTTATTCCCCATTATAAAATATTTAATGTTCACTGTGCTTAATTTTAAATGACATAAAATTAAGTTATTAATAAATGGAATAATTTACGAATACTGCTTTCTTTCCTACCTTAGCTTATTTCTATAATACTTAATCTTGGAAAAATATATTAAAAGACTAAATGCGCACATACAGATCTCAAATTACATTCAAAAGATATTTAGGAAGAGAAAAGAAAAGAAAATAATACACTAAATATTAATACCTTTTTCTTACTGTGTTTTATAAAATTATTAATTTTTATCTCACATAAATACAATGTTTTGAAGTACCTTGAAATATTCAGTCTTTGTTGTCCATGAGATATGAGAAAGAACACTGTGTATGAGAACTTAAAACTTTATATTTCACAAATATATCAATATTTTACTTATCATAGTTATTTTATTTCCTTTTTTTTATCTTTATTTTTTATTATATATTTTAGGTATAGAAATCATTTTTATTTTGCAAATTGATACGGTCACCGTTTATCACTTTTTGCCGAGCTTACTCTATAAAATATTTCTTATTTTTTTATGCTTGCAAAAACAGCAACTCGCACTATAAATTTCAAGCTACCGGAATACCCTGTAATTATTATTCTATGATATAATAATGACATGTTAAACGATAAGTTTACGTAATGAGTTCTATTTTATGAATTTTGTATGTACGCGAGTCCACCTTCATACAAATCGATGAGTAATCCAAGATTAAATATTCCAAGATTAAATATAAATTCCAATCTATTCCAGCTCATCCGCTTTAAGGTAACGGATCTAGAAAAGATTACATATTTATCCACAATTTATTCTTATATCTTAATCTTTTTTTTTCCCTCGAAATATATAGTATAGGATATAAAATTATTATTAAACAAAGATATCCCTTCCGATAAGTGATCGTCGCGCCTCAACGCGCTTACAAGTCGTATATAGAAGAGTTAACTATATCAGGTTGTGATAATCGCTAATTACAGGAAGGAAACAGGGAACGATAGCATTTGACAGCCTCCAGTACTTGTCGTGATCGCGTTTCGAAGGCTAATACGACGGAGTGGGTCGCGTCATTACCTGTCAATTCAAATTCTCGCCGCACAAATGACAACAATATAACTGCAATGGGCACAAGTATAGTACGCCGCACCCCGCGAGTAACAGTATGCCGTGCACACGTACTGGAAACGCACAAAAAAAATAGAAGCACCGAGCAGCCTGCCAGCCGGGTCTCCGTCGTTACAAAATATTCTATCGACGATATTTAACTATATGATTAAATACCGAATATCCTTTCTCCTTTATACTTCAAGCAAGCTTCGATAAACGAGGTATTTCGCATGCTAAAAATTCTAACGTTCATCCAAAGAATAAAATTGAATTTTATTTTGACGAAAAAGATACTCGCATAAGATTATTTTATTATTCTTTGCAAATTTTTATGTTATGAAATTAGTAAAATTGTATGAAAATAATAATTGTAAAATTAAGAATTTCTTATTAAATCTTTTCAATAAAAGAAGAAAGTAAAATTCAATTAAAAGAACTTAACAATTAATTTTTTTAATTTACTAGAATCGTGTACCTGGAAAGAAATAATAATAATAAATCAATTTTAATTTTCCAATTATACCAAATTATAGGAGATAAATTTTATTCCTCATATTGAGATCTACTTAATACTGAATTTATTACCTTTTTTAAGTAAAATAATTAAGCAATCATTCAAATGCATTTTTAAAAAGATAAATTTCGATGCGTGATTTCCATACGATACCATTGGCCTTTAATCGTTTATAACTCGAAAATTATTACGGTATCGTCAGACACCATATCAATATCAGATTGAGATTTTCGAACTTTAATCAATTTCTAGAATACGCTATTAACACACCCATATCAAGTAGATTAGCACTCGATCGGGCATTGCCTGTCGACCGTAGAGAGTGAAATTGAGCAACGCGGCAACGCTACGCGCACTCGAATTCTCTTCATGCGCTCGGCCGACTCTTCTCTCATCGTTAATTTCTTTCTTCTCTCCGCGCCGCCGGCCGCGACTAATTAAACCGCAGAAGCTAATCGCGGAGGCTGAGAAGGCATGGAACTGCGTCGCGTGGCAAAATACGTCGCCATCAACATCGCCGCGATTCTCTCGCTCTCTCGGCGTCTTGCGTTTAGCTCTGGCGTTTCGCAACGCGATAACGCATCTGCGTGACGAACACTTCCATCGTGGGTTTCGCTGACCGCGATGTGCCGCTCGCCGGACATCGCGGAGCCGTCGTATTAATAATCTAAAGTCGCGTGCACATCGCGACCGGCGAGATGAACTTATGTTTGTAACGATGCAATCATTCACTCCTTAACGTCTGGCGACGCGACACTTTTTTTTCTCAACTCTTGATAAGTGTTTCGAAATGTGTTCTTTATATAATTATCACATTGAAAAAATTAAGATTATCATATATCCGTCAGTATATATCATCTCGTATACAAAAAATCACAGGAAATGCAAAACATTTGTACAATCATGAATCTCGCTCGTGTAAAATATGCGCACGATTGCTAGAGCCCAGATTTCATTGCGGCTTAAGTGCGAATTTTGCGACAAGTGAGCTTTTGACATTTCACATTTACATAATCAAACGATGGCTTAAAATAGAACTTGTATTCTGATGTGCTGAATTTTTGTTGTAAATCAAAAGGATAAAACGTGAAATCGTCCTATTGGAATCTGTTATTCAAGTACGTAAATGCATAAATCGGTCTGAGATCACCGCGTTCAATAGTCAGCCGCGTTAAAGGTAAAATACAAACATATGTAACTCTATAAGAATCGATAAATCTTAGCGCACAAGTGTGTACGTGGCTTCATGAACCGTTCGTTCCGTTTGACGTTCATTGAGGGTCCTTCGCGCGTTCGCAAGTAGAGAATGGAAGCGCAACTTTTTCTACTTACCTGTCTGCCGTTTAAGCTGCATGCGTTTTAAGAGGCCATTTCAAGTCACTCCCCAGCAATCGATAAACCAACCGGTCATATACCTGTGTGGGCAAAGTAGACACTTACTACATATTCTCTTGTAACCCAAAAAACACATTTGATTACAAATCTCATAATATTATAGCCATCCATGCGATTAATAAGCATCGTACATCATGTACGTGATTATTATCGCTGTATTTATTCAAGAGTGTATCCATGTCCATGATGATCTACGTATAGATTGTGACAGTGCAATCCTAATCAAAAGATATCTAACACTTTTCAGAAAAAACAAAATGTTGATGAACTTTTGATTTTTTATATCTTAAAGTGTAGAGATAGAGAGAGAAGGAGAGATGTGATGAAAGAAAATCTCTTTTGATAAGTAGTAACGTAAATATGTTTCTTATCAATGTTCAATTTCGCGAATATTTCAAACACACCTCGCATTCGATCCGCCTCAACTCTGAAAATTAAGAGTTTTTGCGAAAGGACATGCGAAAGGAAACGATAGTACTCCACCCACGCGATTGGATTGCGACGCATGCTTGCAAGATGCAAAGAACGCGAATGAGAGGGAGAGAGAGAGAGAGAGAGAGAGAGAGGGAAAAGAGAAAGCAAGAAGAAACGAACGGGTACAACCCGAGCGAGTATACGAGATTCAACAAGTGCACTCGCGACAGTGGATGAGTCATCGAGAGAAATACAAACGGAGGAATAAAATATTGGGCGCGTGGGTCCAGCCGAATATGGGGAAAAAAAAGTCGTGCGTGATTCAACGCCTGCATAACTGAGAAATCCGATTCCGCGACGTAAACAACCAAAAGGTAAATAAAGATATAAACGCATTGATACCAATGCGTCGCGACGTTCGACGCGTATGACACACGCTTTATCATTACACGCAGTAAAAAAAGACGCTTTGCAACACTTCAGTTAGCCAGGCAGAGGCGCAGAAGATGAAGATTAAACGGGATCAAGATGAAACCTTCGCCCGCGAAAAAATTTAATTATCTCGACGTGACAAAGATGCGTCCTTGGTAAAAAAAAAGGGGGAAGAAAAAATTGGAATATCTTTATATCATCATTAGTTTTCTTGCTGAGAATAAGAGCGATTTTTTAAATATATGTAAATATCCGGATTAACAATACAATACAAAATGGAATATAATAATGACGTGTGTAAGAAGAAATCATATATTTATTTAGTCACAGATACGATGAAACGATCAATTCGCACGGCGCCTTGTTTTGACATCGAAGTCGATAGTTATGAAGTCGTGTATCATCGAAAACTGAAAGATTTCAGTAAGTTAAGCATTATCAGGGCAAACAGATAAAATTGGATCAGTTAATTCTAAAAGTGCAACGCGCTTTCGAAACGACTACATTCCGGCGCGTGAAACGCCGTTAAGATGGTCTTCGACGACAACGTAACATGACAATGCGCTTCTTGACTGATAGCGTCGCACGCGAGTCACACCGGACATACAAGGTGTCCCAGAATTACTACACTTTCACTTCTGCTTCTATCCAAGAAATTAAAGTAAGAAGAACGATGACTATTTCCAACACACTTATAAAATACGATATATTATTTTGTTTCTAAAAACTTATTTATAACTACATTAATTAATAATACAATATATGAAGAGAACATCAATTTATTATACAATTCTAAATAAATTATGTTTAAAGTACAGAATTTTACTTAGCCGCTTCAGCTGTGTCTGTAACTCATTTCTTTTAATTTCGTGGGTTAATTTGTTTTTGCATAATACGCCAATTAAAAAGCAGATATATTACTACCATTCTTTGAACGCTGCGCGAGACAACGACTTTCGACCCATAGGAATTCCTTAAGGACGCTGCCGAGACCGACAGGTGCGCGCAACAGTCTTGTACAAGAAAGACAGAAGAAAGGAGAGAAAGAAGGAAATTCGTTACACCTGCGTGTTGCCGCTTCAAGGTTCTCGTCGACGTGAAAGTGTCACGCTCAGGTCATGCAATTTGGTCTAACATGACGCGCCGATGTAAACGGTAGCAATAATAACGCTCCGTCGACGCCGCTTACGTAAGAACGAACGCTCGAGGAAGCTCGTCTTATCTTCGCGTACGTCAGAAGTCCAGACACGACGTCGGCCACGCCGCCACGAACTCTTAATACGGACATTCCGGGGACAGCGGAAATTCCACGGATATTTCCATTTCACCGCGGAAGCTGCATATCCATGCCACCCTCCTGGCAGCCCCACGAGCCTCGCGATCCTTTCTGTCACATCTCGAATGAGTCTGACAAATCATTCGGATACATATAACGCGAGAAACTATCCGAACCATCGACATCATCTATACGTTGGATCTCGGAAGTTGATTGAACTTGAGTCTTGCTATATTATTATGTGATAAATCAAGATAATCGATCTCATCTACTTATTATTCATAGTGAATGAAATCGATAGTCGGAAAGAGCACGTTTGAGAGACAGATAAATATCAGCATGCCAAATTAAACGTCAGAAATATAACAGCGCTAAAAGACTTTCGATTTCCGATCATTTTCACGACCTCGAGTTTCGCCGTCATTAAATTTTAATTTCTATAATAGCTGGAGGATAGCGCAGAACATATGATCGAAGTTATTTTAGTTACTTATTTAATGTTCATGAAATCAAATTGAAAATTGATATGACAACTTCCTGCTACCTAATATTAACCTAATATTAATCGCCTAAGTGATAGTCGATAGCCTAAGCAAGATTTTATTCCTGTAACATCAAGTGGATGTTACAGGAATAAAATCGTGAAAATTCTCTCAAATTCGACTATCTGCGATAATTGCTAATTAAATTTGACGTCATATTCCATCAAAAACTTATACACAAACACACACACACACACACGTTCCGAGATCTCTTCACAACATTCCGAAGCAAAGAAATCTAAACTAGAAACTTTCTGTAGTTGTTATCACTGATTCATGGAACTTCCGTACGCGGTTGTTTGAGCCAGTTCGTGTTTCTATGCGTGATAGGCTTTTCACGTTATCACATACGCGATTCGCTTCCGGGAGAATCTCGAGAGAAGTATCGTCATTCGAGCATAGAGGCAATCATGCGTGGCCGTATAATCGCCAGGAATATTGCCGTTACGTCGAACCACATAAGTCCTCCGACTTGAAATGAGAGGTCGCCTGATAACCGTCTGACGATTATACATTATATATATAGACGATATTGTAACGATGTGATACATGTATATCTTTCTTTCTAAAAATGTGAAAGTATCATTCCGCTTGCATCATAATCCTTTCTCTCTTCTCTCCTTTCTCCTCGCAATACGTATCACCGTGCGAAGAGTAGAGAAGGGCGCAAGATATGAGAAACGTAAATGACAATAGAAATTAATTTCTAAATTTAATTTTTTTTTTAATTTCCACGACCGATGCACGAAACGTCCTCGTCACAGTATCAGAAATACCGTGACACCGACGGCGACATTTCGATGAATCGGCATGGCCGATAAATCCAGCCGGCAACGACGACTTTTCCGCCAGCTCTGACCTCCTGCACGCGCATGCGATCTCGCTTTTGCGATCGGATTTCTGCTGCGCCTCGCTCGCTCGTTTCACAATATTGCGTCGCGTCGTTATTTGCCGCGTGCGTGCTATACCAAACATTTGATGAAATCCATTTCGCAAACGAACCGTTCGCTGCCTTTTCAAGCGAAAAAGGATCTGCTCGGTGGAAAATGCAAGACTATAAAATATTCCAAGCATCAAGATAAAGGTGCGCGAGAACTCGATATTTCGCGTCGTATGAATATTTCAGTAAAGGAAAGAAAAACACTAGAATCCGTTCGCGCGTTTCCAGGGTTTTCATTGTGTGCGTTTGGGCTTAGTGCAGTCAGTATTTTTCAGTGAAACCCCTCTCTTTCGCCTTGAGAACTTGGAAGGGCGCAGATGCATCCTTGTCGTTGCATTCCGCTGCATGACCCTCTTGGCTCCGCATCGCTCACCGAGGCGTTCATATCGAACGGGGGGATACCTCGTCGGGCCGAGGCTATTCGCCTGTTCTATTAAGTGCTCCGAGAACGCCGTCCTTCCCCATCCGCGCGCGCCGGCTGGTCGCGATCGAGGCGTTAATGAAATCCTCGCGGCACGGTTAACACAGTGACCTTAAGTAAAACGTCCTCGCTCGCCGTTGCGCCTTTGACCCGCACTGCAAACGGCGCCGAGCGCTCGGCTCCCTCAAAGGGAAAGAAGAAAAGAAAGAGCGAGAACGTCGATAGCACTCCCCGGCTTCCCGGAGCATACATCGAGAATGACGAAGGCTGTTTCGTTGAAATTTAGTAAAATTTAGTACCCCCCGTGAAAAGAAACAGTTAACGTGAATCTTAGAAGAGAGATTATGCTTGTCGCTTGAGGTACAATAATCGTGTCATATTTAAGTTTTATATTTCATTTTCGTTATATATCCCGACACGCGTGAGTTTTGATGACGGAAATGTAGACCGTACGAAATATGATTCGACGTTCTTCTCGCGATGCTCTTCAGCGTTTTTGTGCGCTAGAGAATGCCGCGACACGTCGACGTCGGTGACGCATTCGCGCGATATAGACGAATTCTGTTTGACACCGCGTATTTCCTGTACGCAATCCATAAGTATTGCAGCAACACGCCGCGAGAACGGAAGAAAGTGAAAAATTTGACGTGGGTAAATGAAAATTATATAATTTAAACTGAGAAACCAATGGTCGTTCCAGGAAAAAGCAACGATTAAGGCGGAATTTATAAGTGCCCAAATACTGCAGTTCTATTCCATGAAAAATAAAAAATATACCATATGGACGGGGCAGTCCTTCATCGTTTCTCTCCATCTCCGTTTCTCCGTCTCTCTTTCCCTTCCTTCTCTCTCTTGTTCTTTTTTACGACCGATCCTCCTCATGGTGAATGCGTGTGCGTGACTACCATGTGACGAAGCGGATTCATAGTAGTGTGCCCCGATGGAATACCCTACGGAGTGACGTTGGGAAAAGAAGGAGCAAGCCGGAATCACCTTAGGAGGAAGCGAGGAAGAGAGAGGCCGATGGCTCGGCGGCATATAGCGAGCGGCGAAGGAGAATAGCAGGGCGAAACGTGGTGGTGAAGCAGTTCGTGGAATGTCTCGTCATCTCGGGGGAACAACAATCCGGGCTTCTCCGGAACTCCGGCGGGGGAACAGGCCTGAGATCTCCACACTGCATCCAACTGGTTGCTGCCCGCCTCCGTTCGTTCGCTCGTCCGCCTGCTGCTTACTTCGAGTTTGCTATTGCCGACTTGGCATCCAATGCGGTGTCCTTAGGTTGGCGAACGTCGCTGGCGATCGTAATAGTCAAACCTTCTCTCTCTTCTCTTTTCCTTACTGCACTACTACTAAGCTTTGTTACTTCTGAGTAGAGAAATCTCTGCCTTGATGCACTACAACGTGTGAAGATTATTTCGATGCCGGTTCAGTTCCAAAAATCTCTACTGAAAGTTACAAGTGTAGCGAGTTTCTTGTGGTAAAAGTTAACAGTTGATTTTTCCGAACAGAATTATAAAGACGTGGATTATTTGTGCATTATAAATAATTAGAAATGATAATGTACAGATACAACTGCCCCTGTTAATGGCCTCTTTCCTCAGGTAACTTCGTGAAAAAATTAGTTTAATTAAAATATTTGTGTATAATAAGTTGTCGGTGACAAAGTGGCGAGTAAAAGAGCGAATGGACCACAGCGAATAATTGAGAAAAAAGTGGAGAAAAAAATATTACTTGGGAAACATCTATTCTGAGTTTATTACAATATATCTATATATTAATTTGATCTATAGTTACGGTTTTAAAAATAAACTTTACGTTTATTTTTATTAAATCTGATCAGAGACACATATTCTTCGTATTATAATATCCCACGTATTATAATATTCTTCGTATTATATAAGCCCACGTATACGAGAAAAATGTGTACTAAATAAGAAGGTCAAAAGGAAAGAATAAAAAACGTTCATGTGTTGAAGTGTGAAAATGTGACCCGGAATAGGTCATGCGCGTAAAGTTTCATTTTTTGACGCACTCCATTTTTTTCAAGCTAAATATATAATGGAATAAAAATTCACGGAAAGTAACATTATTGAAGTTCCATGCAATAAAAACGATTAATGTCAAAGTGCATATCTAAATCCACTTTGCCCTCAAAATGAATATATTAATTTAACATATTATCGCGTGACGTTCCTTCTTCCACTCATCAGTTCGTTGCTCCTTCTGGAATTTCTCTTTCTTTCTCTATTTCATATTTCTATTATTATTTTATTTTGTTCCGCGATTAATATCGCATCGCCGATAACGCATCGCACCCCGCCGATTACGGAGCGGGTGGGTAAATGGCTCGATTGTTATACGAATCGGTGATACCATGAATGAAGTTCGTTAAATGCTTTTCGCGAAAACAGGCTGGCGAGAGAGCCAGAGCTGGTGGTGTATCGGAATGTATTCCGCTAATCGCGTATCATTCGTAGCGCCGAACTCGCGCTAATAGCACCGCTCACAACCGCCGCAATTTGTATTCTTTCGCCTTAATTACCGGGCTCTCGCGATAACAACCGTTCGCCCTGGGCGGGCACACGTTGCGCGCCTCGTGCCAATTAGCCTGCCTTTGTTGTCGCTCAATAATAATCACGTCGGCCGGCCGCGCTCGAAAGGGCCGTTCGCATCGGTGCAATTCGCTGCACCCTAAAGACCGGCCGATTGACGCTCCATAACGGACCGATAAATTCATAGTCAGATTTGTATTTGTAGGTATTGTATATCCGCATTTCGTTATCCTGTCACGCCCGTTCCACAACGGGACGCGCTACAAGATCTGACTGAAGCGCGATCCGCAAACACAATCGGGTCAAGTCCACTTTTGACAAAATTCGATTCGTTCCGCTTTTTTTTTTTACCTCAACATTCGTACGCCAAAATCCCGTTTGCCACTCGTGCTTTCGACATTTCAATCGCGCGTACGTGACTATCAGAAAAATCGCGGCGTGCTATTTTTCGAAAACAAATGCATCGGAAATCTACATATATATACGTTATAAGGGCTTTATTTAAAATCATAAAGGATCGTATGTGTTTCAATATGTTCTTTCATGTCCCAGTTGTTTGTTACTGAATAACATTTTATCCAGATATATACGTATAAGCGTGAAAGCGGATTTGACTCAATTTTATATATGCCGTCTTCTTCCTACGTCCAGTTAACAAAAGTAACTTGTTGCACACACGATATTGCGCAGTCGATGATCGCCCACGATTATGAGGCGCGTGTGCGTGAGAACGGCGACGGTGTTGCGTTTCAGATACGATCGATGCAAACGTTCGTAAAGTGTGGCGGAGACCGGAGACTCTTTCATGCTCCGCGCGACGGAATCGTTAATTATACCTCCGACTGATTGTCCTTGAATGACGAATCGCCATAACTGTGTATCGTATTAACCGCTAATTGCAACGGAGGTCAAACGAAAATTCACAGATGGTATCGCCGGATCGCGCACCTCCCAATAATTTCGTAACGCGAATACCGTTAGGCACTGACGGAATAACACGTGATTTATAAGTGCGAACGCAATCGCGGAATGTCAGTCTTAAAATTCATAGCGCACTCCATGTAACGTTCTTTAACATCTGAAAAATATGAATATAAATACATACGCTTCTAAATATACATCTGTTTTCATACAGTTATACAAGATTTCTAAAACATTTTTTCTTCTTAGCATATGACTTCACAAGGTTTCATGTGCTATTCCGCAAATAGCAGTCCGTATAAATACTCGGAACATTTTAACGGGTAACAGAAAATCCGACCTAAAAAATTTTTTTAGAGTTCGTGTTATTCTTTGTGCGTGCCCTTTGAAAACTTTCCTCGGGGAGTTTGGTTCCTCGAAGACCAGCTGTCCTTCCGGGTGAGAGATTTGTACGTAGTTGGCAGATAACAGCGGGGTCTCTCTCTTCCCGGTGCGAGCCTCGGAGTCTCGGAACGGGAACGATGAAACATAACCGTGACGGCGGTAAAGACGGAGGAAGAGAGACCCCGCGTGCCCTTGGCTGTTAGCGATTCGGAATAGATAAGGCATATTATCGCGCAAGATCCCCGTCTTTCTTATTCGTCTGGGGCGAGGCGCCCCTCTATTTTCACGGCTTTATTTATAGCATTTTGTTTGGGTGCCGTCGCCAAACGCCAAAGCGACTGAATATCTCAAAAAGCACGTTCTAATCCGCCAAACGACGCTTGGCTTGCCGGCCGCAAAAGTGGCACCCGACGATGATTAAAAATTGGAAATCGGCCGCAGTCGCTAATCTCGGCGTTTGAATGGAGTCTCGCGGCGGAGGGAGGAGCCAGGCGTTTTACAAACAGGTAACGTTACACCGCAATGCGCACCGCGGAAACAGGTGCATCGAGATTGTACGGGCGGTTGTAAATGTAGGCAAATGGAGAAACGTGAATTGATCAGGAAGAAAGGAGCTCTCGAACGATCGCGATTGATTTATCTCCGTTTCTTGCGAAACGGTGCAAGTTTGACGAAGCACTCGGCTAACTCAAAGAACGATCAACTCTTCGATTAGCGATCCTTAGCTTGCACGAGAAAGAAAAAGAGAGAAAGAGAATTGGTAGGTAATTGTTTATTCAAACTCTTTGACCAATCGTCGACTATTCGACGAACGGCTCCAAAAATAGGAAAGAAAATACAAAGCAAAACCCAAGGATCTATAAACCAGGGTCTCGGCGCTCACGTCGATCGTGATTTCGCGGTAGATTTTCCATTTCGCGCGCGGTTCCGCCGTTGACGACGGCAAGGCCACGGTTAAAACCCTCATTATCGTCTTCCAATATGACGTGTAACGCACCGATTCTCCGTGGTGCTCATACACGTAAGACGTAAGAGAAGGCGCGCCGCACGGGGCATATCTGCGTCCCTGAGGAGAGCCTCGTATCTCGTATCTGAACTCTCTTCTCCCGCTTCATCTCTATCCCTCTCTCGGTCTCTCTCCCTCGCTCTCTCGGGGTCGCTTGGGCTTTCTCATATTTACTCGCCCCGTCCCTTCGTCCCTCACGCTCCCTGGTGCTAACTCCCTACTAGAGGATCGTGCGCCGATCCCGTCTCCCCTACTACCATCTACCATCGCGTCGACGGCCCTCAGTGCGCGTTCGATACACGGAATCGCCTCGTGGTTCTCGGAAGGCAGTAGACTGTCGTCAACCACGCCAGACGGCGCACCGCTCGCACGCTCTCTCTCTCTCTCTCTTTCGTTGCGTATTCGCCTACTGGCTCTGGCTCTGGCTCACCCACGGGGCTACCTCGCTCTCCGACCCTCTCCTCATTCCTTCTCTCGCTCTCTCTTTCTCTCTCTTCCTCCTCTCTCCGTCCTCCTCTCTTCCTCTCCCCTCCCGCCACTACTCCATACACTCTGTCTCGCGGCGCGGCTACGGAGCCAGCCAGCTACACGGGGCCCGCCAGTTACGCAACAATAACAACGCCGTGAGGAGGTGCGTAGCGTCGTGCGGCGCGCGACACCGCAACGCGACACCGTGGATCGTGCGTAGTGTGTCGACCGTTCACGTTTCGCGGGGAATCACTTGTTGACACCGACGCGGGTGAGACGGAGCTACTCGCGCGGATCACCGGATAAGAACGTTAAGGGGGAAACGGAGAGGTGATCGTCATCGAGATAAAATCGGCTTTCGCGCGCGAATTCCAACCGCGGCCAGGAGCGAAATCGACGGGAGTGACTCCGAATCCGCGCGTGCCGATTCGCAAGAATCGAACGCGATCGAGGGTAAGGTGACGTGTGTGAGAAAAGGTGCGAGAGTGTGCGATTTGAGTATAAATTGTGAGATCGTTGGAGAACGAGGAGAGACCATAAACGGGCGCGCGAGAGTGGAAGATTCGCGCGGGGCACAGAAGGGAGGAGATTCCGAGGGAATTCCGATCGATCGGGATCGAAAGCGAGAAAGCGTGACTTCAAACGCCGGTCGTTGCACGAGGGAAACGCGTGTGAGGCAACTTCGACTTCATCGGCGGGAAAAAAATCTCGCGAAGCCGGGGGACACTCGCGAATGTTACGCACTCGGATGGAGAATACGCTGCAAGTGTCGATCGGCGCGGTAGATCGGTAAGGAACGTCAAGCCGCACACCGGATCGAGTAGTCGGTAACTCGCCTCCGATCGATGAATGGAGCAGTAGTGACGTGTTATCACGCGGCGAGTACGAGAGCGGCCACGAGGACAGAGATCGGCAAGAGGTGCGCCGATCGGTCGATAGATTATCGGTGAATCAGGACCGCGAGCGACGTCGGGGTAACACCGAGTATAAATCGCAACGAGGGACGAAAGTCGCACGCCAGGAGTTTGAGATCGAGCATCAATCTGGTACACAAGATCTCCGGCGGCAAACGAGGTCGCCGCGTCGCGCCGATAGATCGGCCGGAGAATCCGCTACCGATTTCTCGGGAGGGAGACCCCGAGGAGAGGAGAACGCGCGTGAGACGCTCGCGAGCGTCTCCCCGCTGCCGCCCGCGGCCCCACGGCGACGCGTTTAGGCGCCAATGACGTCACCGTGCGAGTGAGACCGCCGGCGGGGGAATTCGCGGTCGGAGTTTCTCGCCGCGCGCGCGGCACGTTTACGCGTGTCCCCGACGCGACGCGACGCGACGCTCGGCAGTGCCGCGATCGCCGGCAATGGTAGCAGCGGTGGTAGTGGTGACCGCGCGGTAGTAGCGGTGTGGTGATCTTGTTCCTCGTCGTCGTCCGTCGTCGTTACCTCGCGGTGGGGGCCAGGATACCCCGTGGAATCCGCGGTGCGCGCGAGTGGCCGATTACACTTTTCTACGTATGTATATGTCGCTCGTCGGCGGGCAATGACTAACCGCGCGCGGCCGATCGCGCTAACGAGAGATATCATATCCGTCGACTCCGGAGCTGCCGATTCGGAGCTATCGCCGTTGTCGTTATCGTCGTCAGCGCCGGTCAGACGGGATTTGCATAGCAAACAGATTGACGCGCTCGTAGTAAGTGGATAACGAGAAGCGAGAAATCGCGCGCGTACACCGTATATAGCGCGAGAGATCGCGCCCGCTTGTGTGCGGCTCGCACGCGGGTGAGTGTGTGAATATCGCTCAGTGCGTACGTGCGTGCGTGCGTGCGTGCGTACGACTGGCTCGCGGTGCCAGCAGGAGGGAGAAAGAGAGAGAGGGAGAGAGAAAAAGAGATAGAGGATACGACGGACGAGGCAAGTGCGGAGCTTAAAATAGAAGAGTGACTTCGGTTTAAGTACGTGGCGGGAGGACGGAGCGAGTAAAACGAATCGGAGAAGAGAAGGGTAGATGTTGTGCTCACTTTTTCCCCACCTCCGGATTTCTGTGATACGTTCGAATTCTACGTTTCTCCGTGGGTGAAAGAGGGAACAACGGGAGAGGAGACGACGAGAATACACATACACACGCACACATATATTACATATATATATATAAATATTTCGCGGTGGAGTGTGTTTCTTCTGTGATAATTCCTATAGTGCGTATTGTATTGGTGGAACGCGCGAGAGAGGAAAGAGAGAGAGAGAGAGAGAGAAAGAGGGTGACCGTGTCTCTCACGCGCGCGACACTTTTCTCTTTTTCCCGCCTGTGTGTCGTTGGGAAAAAAGGAAAGAGGATCCGTCGATCCTCAGCGAGGCAGAGATCGCGCCTCCAGCAAGCGAGCGCTCGCCCATCGGAAAGGAGGCGTCGGCTCGCTCTCTGTCCCACGCGATGGATCGTGACTCGTGTTCGTATTTCTGCGGAGGCTGCGAGAGGACCGCCGCCGAGGGCCGAGCTATGCCGATGGAGTAACAAGTGAGCGGCGAAGCGGCGTTGCCATGACGACAGGTGAACCATGAGTCTCTCCCCGTAGTTCCCTCCCGCCTTGTCCTCCTCTTCCGCGGCCCCCCTCACTACAGTCACTACCAGTCCCCCTGCTCTCTCGTCCCGCCGTCACTCTCCGCGCGGCATGTTTGTTGTCCCTCTTTTCCTCTGACCCCGTATACTCGCGAGATATGATGCGACAACAGTGCCTCTGTCTTTCTCTCTCTCTCTTCCTCTCCTGTTCTCTCGCGCATTGTGGACGTGCTCTCCGATCTCGATCCTCCTCTCCTGGTTCGTCACTCCACACTCTCTTTCTCTCTCTCTCTGTCTTTCTCTCTTTTTTCTTCTCTCTTTCTCCTTCTTGACGCTCGCTGTTTCGTTCTCCTTTTTCGGTCGCTCCCTTCCTTCTCTGTGGTCTCATCGTCTCGATACACTGACGTGTTTTCGTGATACTCGGAAAGCTGAACGATCATGAGAGAAAGAAGAGAGAGAGAGAGAGAGAGAGAGAGAGAGAAAGAAGATTGGATTCTTTTCTGACCAGTTTCGTACATTGTGAACAGTGTTACGATCGCGTTGTAAAAATTTACGAGGGATGCTGCGGTCGTTACGTCAAGTCCACCGTCAGCATCGCTGGCTCCTCTATTCGCTCCCCTCCCCACTTCTTTTTACAAACCGGACCGCGTGCGAGCATCGCGTATACGATAGTAATTTCGGCCTTCAATCTTGCGTGCGCGTTTGCGACACGCACACCTATATGTGCGCATACACGTTCAACGACATCTTTACCCGAAAGGCGTTTTTGTCACGCTGAAAAGTTTTCCGATAAAAAGAGAGGGAGATACACAGATAATGACAGCAATCGCTTAGCATTATCACCGCTGACTAACGTTTCTATCCTTGAAAATACAGCGCAATCTTAACTATAGTCTTTATAGACCTGCAACCGCGCTTTATATTGTTAACTCACTAAATGGACACACGAGAAATAATATATCCTACTTGTACAGAAATAGCATTTTTATGTAAAAAAAGTCCGACATTAACAGCAAATAGATTGATGAAGAGAAATAGCAATCGTCACACGAACAATTTCCTAGAGATTCATTATATTCTCCTTATAGTTTTCCAATAGATTTTTTAATAAAGTTGGCGGCAAAATCTCACTTAATAAAAGTCTCATTGAAAACAAGTAATTTCGAAACACCCGTTAGATCACGAAGAATCAGTACGCAAATTAAAGCTGTAGATAACTCGCAAGTTATAATTAATCGCTGGTCGGTATTTCTCCAGTATATCGCTTGGTCGACCACCTCTGGTCAAACAAGTACATGTGAACTTCGAGAGAGATAGGCACGACAAAGTTCCAGAACGAGTAGATGGCGGGGAAACAATTTTTGAACTGCACAGATTTATAAGTTCTTCTCTCTCTCTTTCTCTTCGCTTCTTCTCGTCCCTCTGCTCCGAATAATCCTTTGTGAGGATCTCCCCCCTTAAAGATATCGATTTAATTTATTTAAATACATAATAGGCAGTCATAAGAACAGTTATTAAATTAAGAACAAAAACCAAACTAATAAAATTATTGTCTATTTGTCTGTTAAGTATTATACAAGTTATTAAAAAATATAATTTGATTATCGTAAAAATATTTCTTTGTTTTTTCTTTAAAAAAGTGTATTATTCACATCAAGTTGCTTGAACTGCTTATATTTAATTCTTATTTATCTCTAATTTATTTATTAATGACTCAGAAAAACATCTTTTTCAATTGATATTCGTATCATATCTAAATGCGTGAATACTGACGCTAAAGTATCCAAAGAACATTTTTCAATGCTTTCTAATAATCATGCATCGATGGGCATGCTTCTTCGAGTAATCGCTCCGCACTCACGCACGCAACGTCCGTTGGTCGAGCGGCGTTGGATGATGCCGTTTTAGCATGCTTAGCGCGTAGGCCACGCGATATTCCAAGTACGCTGAGCTATTTTCATGCTACGCCGAGAAGACACAGAGAGCGAGCGAGCTCCGCGGAGTACAAGACGCGCGTCTCTCTTGCCTATAGCGACGGTGACACGACGACGAAGCGGCGGCGACCTACGGCCAAGCCGTATAAAGCCGGAATCGGCCGCACCGCGAGTGGGATCGTCGGAATTTCTCTCGATTTGTCGTCTATTCGTGGAAGGGATTCCCGGGCCGGAGTTGCAAGCCCAAGATTCAGACTGCAACGCGTTACTCCACTCACAGATATTTCTATCCGTGAGTGGGGACCAGTAATTCGAATGCTATGCAAAATTCTCGAATCATTCCGTCTTATGGGCAAATAGCGCGATTCGTGTCAAAACAATGAGCGCTTAAAGTAAATATCGGAATCGGGGAGCTATTCGTCTAATTAAGAGAGACATTGTTTTAATTTCGAGAATATCCGGATAATATCCACATTCCTTGTCCGCGAAGAGTACTTGTATAATGAAAACGGAACAGAATAAGAGAAGTAGTCGCCTATAATGCTTAACATTTCTTTGAAACAAGCATAAACACGCGATGAACTTGGCGGCTGTTTTGTGTGTAAACAATAGCACGGTAGCACGCGAAGATGATAGTACAAGCCCGTGGAACAAGTTAAAGAAACGTAGAATGAAGGAGATTTATATTTGTGTAAACAGTCTCGTTTTGAAATGAATTCGACAAGTGATGCTTATAGTAAATGTTAATTTTTGAAGCAGCGTTATTGATTCATTTTGTTCTCTCGAAAGTCTATCAATTAGAAAGGCGTATAATTACAGAAACAGCGTTAAAATGGGTTATAATGAAAATGATAAAAAAATTGAAAATTTTATCTTTTTTTACATCATTTTCCTTATTTATTAATGTGGAAAATAGTTACGTATACAGTAGCAATTGTCTGCACATATGCCTACAACGCACAATGTAAACACGATTATGATCGTAAAAGTTTTAATTACAAGAGTATCGATTGCGATAGATAACACCGCGATAACTTCGTTTACTATCAGTTCGTTATGATATCCTCGTTTCAGATACCGTGAACAAAATACAGTAACTCGAGTATAAGAGAAATTCTCCCGTGGTTTACCGGAGAATGCCTTCTTTTATATAGGGGAATATGGAGACGTCAGGCGGTGGATTATTCCCCGACAAGAATCTCAATTGATTGCTTATGTGGAATTCTCGCGCTACACGTAAATCTGACGAAGAAATTCGATCTGTCGTGATATTCAACATGCATTATGCGGAAGAGATCGCCGTTGACGATTGACACATTTCGCGGAATCGCTTTTTATCATCGATTTGTTTGCGCAGCTTCTTGTGAGTCGCTTAGAGAAAACTGCTAAGTAATTAACGCGCCAGTTGCACAAAAAACACAAAAACATCATGTAAAATGATGCAAAATATTTAATCGCATAAACGCGTTGCGCTAAAAAACCTTGTTATCGATATTTAATCGTCTCAATAATTTATAACTAAAATGAATTTTATAATTAAAAACATACAAACGCGTATATTTTTAAACACGCAGATACTAAACTCTTGCTGCCTTAAATCAAGTCGTATGATTTTTTGGAGGGTGTAATCGATGTCATTGATATTGGTTTTCCCAAAATGGAATTACGAGATCAAATGGAAAACTCGTGTTTCGCGGCGCAAACATCCGCGAGTTAAAATATCTCGCGAAAGGCGGCGGTCGCGCGTGATACAATGAAATTTACTTTACTCGCTATCTGAATTTACTTTAACTGTCCGTGCACCCCCATCGTAAATCCAACCGAACTTCATTACGCTCGCTCGGCGATACTATAAACCTGTTACGGTCTTGTAATAAGCTTAAAAGGATTGTACGACACTCACCCATTCTCGCCAGACGTATCCTCCAGGTTCTTAATCGCTACCACGTGATCTCTCGAACTTGGCTCCCTCTCATTGAACGAATGGTGTGATAATTTTTTTACATGCACATACACATACACGCTACTCTGTGAATGATGACAATGATTGACTTTCCATAAAATTTTCACAAAAAAGAAATCGATTTCACATCTTTATTAAGGAGTTTAGCCTTGAAACCGTTTTTTATGACAATGAATCACTGGCAGTGTGCATTAATTTATATTTACTCTCGGCGCCCACTAGCAATAAGAATTAAATCACTAATTCAATTTCAAGCTAAATGAGAATTCCGACTTTGACGTACGGTGGATTGACGGCGGACGTCAAATCGGGGAGATACAGTTATAATATAACATATCGCGTTCCACACGTTCCATCGTGACGTGAAGATCAGCAATTGAGACTACTACGTTTAATTGTAGCGAGGCTTATCGCGTTGTTCTTCGACTAGCATTAATAACCGTATCTCGCACGTTTGTTTTCGCGGAAAGGAAGCCACAAGAAACGTTGGCGTGTAGCAGAGTCACTCGCGTCGAAACCGGAAGAATTGCGTTATTTACTCGGTAAACACTCGTCCCAATTTTCAGGAACGCTCGCGGTATATACACGTTAAATAAATGTCCGTTCTCTCACGGGATCGTCAATTGATCTTCGGTGAATTTGCAATTCATAGAGGTGCGTCGTAGTATTTGTAATGAGACGCCGTTCAAATACGAAGAATTCGCTATTAGATTTATCCTGTGCGTCATGATGGCACATATGAAAACAGCTATTAGTGATAACGGCGCATTCGTCAGTGATAGAATTATAATTAAACGAATCGGAAGGTAAATATGAGGTCATGTTGTTTACACGACCGATACAGTGACACTTGAATGACTCAATCAAGTCGTTTTCATTTAAGATCTAGAGTACTGCGACCACGTATATCTATTTTGCATTATTCTTTAGTGTTGAATTATCAGATTCTTATCGACTACAGTGACTACACGAAGTGACGATTAAGACAGTGTGCGCAAGTTAAATGATGTAATGACAGAGAATGAAGAGAGCAAAATTAAAATCTCGATCGCTGATTCGCTTTCCCTCGCACAAATATCTAATAGGCAGTCGAATGAAAGCTTAACGATATTTCACCGAAATTAAGATTAACGAGCGTTACTTTTAATACGGAGGAATATAAAGTAAATTGAGACAAGAAATCGAAAGTAGAACAAAAAATTACAGAGTAAAAAAATTTGTGTTGTATGCGCGCAAATGTGTGTTGTGTACGTATGAACGGAGAAAAACATCCGTATCATCAGTTCAGTCTCGAAGAGAGTCTCCTTTCTTTGGGAAGCACTGGAGTGGGAAGGGAAAGGAGGGATTCCGGATAGGCGGCCGTGAACGTCCTAGGGCACGTAGACGCACGGCGGGGTGCGTGACCCAATCACCCGTTCACCGGCAGCGAGCGAGCGGAGCGGCGTGGATTCGTGTCGAGTCTCTCCGCCGGCACGCGGTGGGGGACTACGGGGGACTATCGCGCGGAGCCGGCGCGGCGGAGCGGAGTGCGGTAGCGCGCGCGCAGAGTGTCGGGCGGAATCCCCGAGCGCGCGAGCGAGACCGTTCGCGCGTGTATGACTGTGTGCGTCAGTGGTGGCCGTGCGAAGGCCGACGGTAGGGGAGAGAGTTGCTCCGTCAGACGCAAGCAGGCGGCTGATAGACGCGGGGGAAAGGAGAGGTAGGGAATGCCGCTTCTTCGTCAGACGCACGCGGCGACCGCGACGGCGACGGCGGCGGCGGCGGCGGTGGTTCGGGTTGCGCGCGTGACTCACTTGTACATCGCGGGAATCTCCCGCTCTCTCGCCGGTGGCAGCACCGCACAACCTCGAGAGACCGCGCCGCGTGTGCACGAGTATCACGAGTATACGGTCAGACTGAGAGGAACGAAGAGAGGCGGCGGCGGCGGCAGTGACGGCGACGACGGCAGCGGCCACCGCACGATCGGAGAGTTCATCCGGTGCAACGACGCGCGCTTGGCCGCCGCACAGACCCGCTACGCGATACACCAGTGTTTCCCAACCTCGCTTCCGCAGCGATTCTAACGTGATCTAATTTCTACAGGAATATTGTAACCCGTAATAACAATCGTTAATTCGACGATGATTCCAATACTTTAGATGTAAACGAGATAGTTTAATCAATTGGAAGCGGAATAGCAATGAGTTTTACAAAGTATTGAAACTTTGCACACGTTTGAATCATCTCTGCGTCGTATTACATATCATTCCATAAATAGTTAAAATAGTAAAAGTTGTATACTAAATATATTTCAATAAGACACAGAAGAGATTGGTTTCCAAATGGTTTACGTAAGAAAAATATTGCGCATCACTGATTTGATTTACGCGAAATGCTGCATTGAGTGGACGTTAATTGGACGACGTATTCGTATATCTGGCACACGCACAATCTGGCGATATAACCACGATAAACGTGACAATAAATATGCTGTCCACATATGTTAAAATGCTATTAACAAACAGTTATAAAATTACTGACGCTGCATCGAATGGATATACGCCGGAACAACGCTATCCACGCTATAAAAAGCAACATTCTACCGTTACTATCGATTACCGCATCAGTTAAATTAAACTTCACCCCATACCAGCAGAAAAGAATCAAGTAGTTATCGTAAGCTTAAATAGAATTAATGACCGAGCGCGGGGAACTGACCCGGGGTCTGACTCAGAATCAACAAGAAGTCTCGATGTTTCGGCACGCTCGTTTCTCTTACGTGTTTTGTAGGATTCCCGCCGAATTCGTCACGTTAAATATTTAAAAGCCCACGGCATCGCCAAAATTATCTCATTTCCTCCTCGATGCGGGGAACACGGTCGAAGGATCGGCGATCTCTCGTCGGCGAAAGTCGCGAAACCGCGCAGCCGGTTTCCGCAATCCGGTGTTCGATAACGCTCTCGACACCACTGATTCACGTACGACGACGGAATTCCGAGCATTCGCTGTACTTCAGTGTACAGGTGCGAGGAGAGGCACCAACGTCGTTGTTGTATAATAAAACAGAATGGCGCAATGCCATTCAAGCCTGATTTCCCGTTTATCAATTGAGCCAGATAAGAACGAGCTGCATGGACCTTCTTATGTTTCGCGCAATAATTAATCGACAAGTCGTGGTCGCGTTTTCCTACTTAACCACGCACTACGTGCGATTGATAAAATCGTGCTATACATAAATTATGTCTAGCGCGATTTGAATCCCGCGTTAAAACCTGATAATAAAACAGGAACAAAGTGAAAAAGAAAACATTAAAATCTAATAAAAGTATCAAAATCTTGACTTAAAGCTAAAAAACTTAATTGCGAAAATTATTATTAGACTGACAAGGACTATAATCGTCAATTTTAAGCGCGGCAGTTAAAGTTGTCAAGACTCGTTGATGACATATGATTGATCAACTTTTTTGTAACGTATCGAGATGAAAAATAAGAGAGATAAAATTGAAGATAAAATTTTGAAGACTTCGCACACAAACGGTAGAGGCATTAATTGAGAATCAGACGTGCGAAAATTGAGGCATGATGGGATTAAGTCGCGGTCAGTTGAACGAGCGTTTAACGTGTCTGACGCGTCCGGCATAAAACGATTAACGAATTGTCAGGTCCATATAGCGTACGGTGGCATGATGTACGTTGTACGACGTATACGGCAGACTGAACGAACTATTCATAGGTTGCAATTGGTCGTTTGTACGAGTTTACGCTTCGCCTCTTCGAACTCTCACTCAGGATTAAGCTAATATCGTGCGAAACTATATCTACAACTTGCTTATCATATCCACTTAAACGGAACAGAAAATTGCATTCTCCACATTTCTCATTTAATAATTTAAAGAAAAAAAAATAATTAAAATAATCTTAAAATACTGCCTATTTTTTCTGATCGAATATATAATTTTGACTAATTTTTATGCAGATTTTTGTGTTATATTTAGTTAAAAAAGATGCTTATCAAAACTTGACCACTAAACCCTGATCACTTGATTTTTGTTGTGTCTACAATCGTGATTTTTGGATGAGAGAAACGTCACGCTTTATTTTTCGATTTATTAGATACGATCGTAAATTGTATAGATTCACCTTACGTTTGCGTTACGTTTTGGCTAAACATAATGAAATACAACAATGAGAGTTATATCTTCACGCGTCTGCAGATGCATCGTTAAGAGAGGGGACCGAGGTCCAGGGAGCGAGCTATCAAGATAGAGAGCAAACAGTAATAACCAATACATCAATAAAATATCTCAGCTCGCGTAATCTAGCTCTCTTTATTGGGGTTTTATTCAGGCTGGAGAAAACGACGATATAGGCGAGATCGCTAAACTCGTCGACCGAAAGTCCGAAAATAAAACTTTATGCCGTCCGTAACTAATTTTATTCGCGTACAATGGTACGCCAAAAATCTGATATCTTCTCTGACGCGGTGACGATGGATCTAAAATAAAATGGTAGAGGCAGTTTTATTTTAAGCTAATTTCTTTATTTCGAAGAATTTTATTTTAGGAATTTTATCGGTACGATTGACGATTCCTTACGAGATGCGATGACATTTCGTAACAAAATTAAGAAACGGATTGGAGATGAAAATGATTCTCGCATAAAACCGTGTTACGATTTTCGGGATATACCATAGTACTTGTCAATTGAAATTCCGGATGAAAAGTAGCAAATGTCAATGCAAGATAAGGTCACGTCGATTTTTATTCGTCTATGCCAAAATAAATTGAAATCTTACGATTTTATTAATTAAAGTTCTGTAAAAGCTATTGACGAATAAACTCTTCCATTTTTCATATAGAGGTTTATCTGAAATACATTTTTCATTGTCTCCCACACATTTTTGTCTTGCGAAACAAATTATAGGACATAATTTATTTTAACGCGGTTTTTATTTTCCTATAACCACATAAAAATTATCAAGCTGTAACAAGGTACCTGTTAAATGTTATTTCGCTTACGCTTCTTACGGAATTAAACGCATCCATGGAATCTAGCGCGTTATTCGCAGAGAAATAATTGCGGCGTATTTTATACTACCGAGTATAGTCCCGACCAAAATCTGCATCTGCGTTTGTGCTCGAAATGCAAACAAAACGTATCGTGACCCATTTTCGTCGCTCTGCGGACTGTGCTAGTGCATGCGAGCCGTATTTATTGCGCTGCCATACGCGTTCGCAAAGTATATTCGTTACCTGACAGCTTGGGCGAGTATATGCGTCTATAATGCACGAATAACTTCAATAACAAGCTGTAATTTCAGGCAAATATTTGAGAGGCCGTTAATTGAACAATCCGAAACTCCGAACGATACACTCTCGACTATAATATCCTTTCGCTGTTCATCTCTTCAATTTATCGACGTTATCAGCCTCGATTCGCGACAGCGAAAACGCGATACAATTAAAACGCGAAGGATTTCTTCAACGTTCGCGGATAATCCTACTATTATGTTATGTGCTCAATTTGGAAGAAGAACTTCCTAACTTTTAACCTATGTAAATTGCAAATTATAATGCAGCTATATACTCTTAAGATATGAGTCAAAATCTACTCTTGAATATTGACCTGATGCAGTATATGTATATCATTATGTACAGTACTGTTATAAAGATACTCGTATACTTCTTTACAGTCAAATAATATTGTGTACACACAAGTACACACTACTGCGACACATAGACGCCTTATGCAAATTTGCGATAGCGTGAAAATATCACCGGCGATGCCGATGATTCAGTTTCCTCGCGCACAAACTTTCAAGTCCGCAACACATAAAACATCCTGCGATAATACGCGCGTAGATACCGCGCGCGTGTAAACCATAGAAACTGATTGTGAGTGAATAAGAATGGATTTAATGGCAAGCCGTCGTCATTTCATTCATCTCTGCCGGAGGAGAGCCCAATGAAATATGCGTGTTCGCGTCACGCGTATCCTCCCACGGTCCGCTCACAAAGGAGTCTTTTTTTAATCCGCGCGGATCGACTTATTGTACTCGCATGCACCGTAAACTTCGCAGCCGCAGGTACAATTAACGTGATTCATCTCGTATTCGCCGATCAGAATAATAAGGCATCGTTGTTCCGATAAGACACGATACAAAGATAAAATTATATTAAATTAATGTTGATCTAAGAATCTGTTGAAATCGATAGAAGTGCGAAGCTGGAGGTGCGCGAATTGTGAACTACACTTTCGTAAAACTTCGTTTATTATTGTACGAGTTTGCAACGCTTAAATAATATCGCATGACATTTTGGTGGCTTTTACTTTAGATGTCTAAGAATCAAAAATTTTATGGCAGTCTCTTTTCCGAGCGAAGGAAATTGCCGCTGCCAAATGGACCGTCGATGTAAGTCTCGTCGTCGTTTGGACGTGGCGGTGATTCTCCGCGAGAAATGCCTCCGTCGGCGAACGAGATTGGCTCGCGTTCTGCCAGCTCCTCTCGCGCTTCTTTTTTTGTCCTCCTCCTCTCTCTCTCTCTCTCTCTCTCTCTCTCTCTCTCTCTTTCTCTCTCATCCTCTCCCTCTACTTTATTTGCGCGTATAAATAGCGCGGTCCAAAATTACCGGGTACTTCGGCGAACGGTGCCGCGAAAGTGGCGTCCAAGAAAAGGCCGGCGATTTCTGCTAGTTATAAAAATATACACGGGAACGACGTGGACGCCCGGTTGGCGACGCGCATTCTTCAACGAGGGATACGATGAGGGCAACTATGTAGACGAAAAGAAAGAGAGGATATAGAATTATTCATAGGCCTTAAGCCTTTGCGACCTGAAGTGATGACAATCAGTATGTAAAGATAAACGATTATGCAAAAGGAATGAAACTCGTTTTTTTTAATGGAAAACGAGGAAAATAGGAACGAATTGTGATATTTTAAGACATGATAAATATTTTTTTCATTATATACATATATATATATATATTAGAACTGAGCAAAATATATTAAATTCTTCATGAAACTGTTTATTTGTCACAAATCTGTTTTTGCATTCATTGTCATGAAGTAAAACTTATTTTCTTCTAAAAAATGCTAATACCAATATTGCCAAAATGTAATAAAATTTAATTTCTCATGATTGACGATTATATTCTTGAAGACGATGACAATCAAGTTTTAACGGACTGGGAATTGCGGATTTTAAGCTTGCAAATGTTCATAACTCGACGGTGAACTTAATCAAAAATTTAAAACACACGCGGGAGAGAGAGAAGAAATATATCCGCTTTGAATAATTTATACGTTATACGTATATAATGACGAGATATAGAAAGTTTCTAAAAAGTTAAAATGTATATCGCGTATATCAATTTTAAAAACTACTAGTGAGAAAATTTACAAGAGGAAAAAAAAGACTCTTGAGAATCTTTGGTAATAATATTTAATGTCTTGTAACTTGAATGGATGTCAAGCTAGTAATTTCGGTAATTGTGTATAATTACTGCTATACTAACTTGAACATTTCATGGAATAAATACGAAATAATTTCGAAATATCTTTGTACATGTTGATAATATCAGGTTAATGACTGTATCAAAGGTGTAACGAACCAGTTGGCGTCAGCCGGATGCGATATTTCGACAATACTATCGACCTATATACATCGATTAATCGCGTAATTATTGCATCGCGTCGAGAAAAAGAGGCAAATATGCCGAAAGACTGAGTACGATCTTAAATAATCCACGGTAAATAATTTGTCGTCGATCAGTCGCGCCGATGAGCAAACACGGAAACGACCTCGGTTGCTTATAAATGAAAATGCAGGCGCAGAGAAGTCTCGCTCGTTCACGTAAATGAATCTGAACGGTTGAACCCGTCCCCAACTTCCGCTTTCGCAACCTCGCATTGCTGTATAATTCTGCGGAGATGACCTGTCACGCCTTGAATATTGAACACGTGGATAATTGCGTTTGAATCAATATCTGCTTAAAATATTACGATATTTTATCAAACGACGTTAATATATTAATATCATTTAATTAATTTAATGATATTAAATTTCATTTATGCATAATAAATATATAGAATTTTATCAGAATTAAAAAAGCTCTTACTTATAAAATTGTTGATTTGTCAATGTGTCAGAACTATTATATACATATCAATATACGATGATTATCTAAGCATTAAAGCTATATCTTGTGTTGCTACTTGCTACGTGATAAAAAAAAATGAAGTGAATCTCACAAAGGATGCCCTAAAATAACGTGTATTTAAAAGCATGTCCATTAGAGCGAAATCTAATAGAATTGGCGTACCGCAAGATACGTAATCGAATTTCCTAATTGAATTATTTGCGGGAGTTCTTATGTGATCATCGGTATTTTCCCCGTATGTATCACTCGTTTTAGCTATGGCTCGGCTATTTCTCCGCTGCGGAGAAAAATATCTATTGACAGATTATTATTAGCGATTATTCACGGCCAAGTATTTTCCCGATCGCGAAAGTGTACTGCGAAATAACTAATTACTTTCCTTGTGCGGGATAGATGGTAAATTATATATATATATTTGTTGTATTTTTATACCTTTTCTTGATATTATATTTTTATATCTTTATCTTATATGACGAAATTAATATGAAAATAAATGCGCTGTCACCTAGGACATGTTGTATGGAAATAAAACGCACCACCGCTGATATAAATATATTCAATACGTTAAAAATGAGATGCAGATAAACATATTTTTTTCGAATCAAAAGCATGTAGTACTTATATGTACATTCACATTATTTGTAATAATTTATACTTTTTCTTCATTATTTTTTAATATACTGTACGATATATGAAATTCTGTGTAATTATAAATATAATAATGATATTATGGGCAACGTCTAAAAATCGAGAGACAGCGTTTTTTAAATGTAACTTTAACGTAATGTTGCGTTTGAGATCTCGATCGTGGTTCGACGCAATTACTAGTAACAAATCAATTCACTTTTATGCGTCATGTAATCGCTGGTGCTACGTAATCGATGGAACATAATATAACGCATATACCGGCATATATCAAACGCGTGTCAGTATTTTCTTATCCCACATCGAGAGTACATTAACGCCTATGTATTTATGAAAACGTCATAAGGCAATTGACACAGTGGACTAGAATTTTCCAATCGGCGTCACCGTGATACTTTGCTTGGCACGACCTCGAGCACTTTCCTTATGTACGATCGTCGTCGCGCACGTGTCACTCGAACTCGTCGTCATCATAAATACGACGCGTCATTAGCGTCGTTATGTAAGATCACTTTGCGTGTAATAAAAAAAAATCTACTTGATATCCGTGTTATTTCGGGGGTTTTTCACGCGTTTATTATTTCCCAACGTCAACACTTTAGCACGCTGTTGCGGCAAAGATGATCGGTGATTAAAATCGAATTAATCGACGCCGGTCCGCTTCGCGGAATAGCCTCGGCGTTTCGCGCAGAGTATCGAGAATCCTTCGTGAATCACCTCCCCTCTCGACACGGGACATCATGCACGACGACGTCCGTTCTCGCATCTGAGTCACCTGAGAGCCCACCCGCGCATGATCTCGCCTTCTCTTTTTCACTCTCCGCTCCTTTTCTTCCGCCGTCAGTCGACAGTGATTTTAAATGTGCCGCGCTGTTTTGCAGAGACCCATACTGTGGCGATGACAGACCCACAGCTGACCAATAATAATAACAACAACAATAACAACAACAACAACAACGATGGCGAGCCAAAGTACCTGCACAAGAAGTTCAAGAAGATGGCGACGACCGAGGTTGCGCCGAAAATCATCGAGAAGGAGGGCACGGCAAACAACGTCGCCTCTGGTGAGACGCCCAAGCGTAAGGACGACGACAAGGATGGCAAGGAGTCGTCGAAGGAACTCGGCAATAAGCTCGAGCCTTCCCCGGAGCCGGCAGGGGCAGTCGAACCCACCGCCGAGTCCCGGAAGAGTGGTTACGCGTGCCCTTACTGCCCGATGACGTGGACCAAGCCGAGTGTCCTTCAAAAGCACATCAGGGCACATACGAATGAACGGCCGTATCCGTGCGCGCTCTGCGGAATCTCCTTCAAGACCAAATCGAATCTGTACAAGCACTGCAGATCGCGCTCTCACGCGCACAAGGTGGAAAAAGGAGAAAAGGTAATCCATTAATTAAATTACTAAAATTTAACTAATTTAACAGACTTCGACAAAATCTTGATATTGAAAGAGAATTAACAATGTAATTATTGATTAATACCTTAGGTTTAATCTCTAATAAGGCGTTTGCAATTTTCTCGCATTCAATCAATAACAATTTAGTTTACCAATTAGGCAATTCAATACTTTTCGATGTTTAATTAATATGCGTGTAATAAAAAAAAAATCTACTTGATATCCGTGTTATTTCGGGGGCTTTTCACGCGTTTATTATTTCCCAACGACAACACTTTATCTACGGTTTTTCACAGGTGTCCGAGGATTCCGACATAAGTCTGTCAGATAGCGCCAGTAATGGCACTGGGACACCACCGCCGCCGCCAGCTTCTACGCCTACAACGGCAACGACGACGGTATCTACTGCCGCAGTTAAGACCGTGAAGACCGGCAAGATCTACAAGCCGAAGTTTCAAGCCCGAACGGCCCTGCAGTGCGTGAACAGCGACACCGAAACGTCTTCCTTATCGCCCAGTTCTTCCAACAGTTCCTCCTTGTCTTCCTCCACGACCGCCTCTGCTTCCAATTCTGTTAAACCGAACGCGGAACAGTTGCAGGAGCACATCGACAAGATCATCACGGACAATCAGGCGATCGTTGACGCAGTGGATCCATGTTTGCACAAATTAATGCATCGCCAGCAGAGTTTAGTGGAGACGAAGCAGTCATTTGAACAGCAGCCGTTGAACTTGTCTTCCGCGGAGGAGTCTTCAAACAGCAGAAAGCGTTGCTACAGCGACAGTTGCGCTCAAGAAGCGAAAGACAGTGAGCTTCCAGAGAGTTCGATTATCAAGGATCTCTTGTTGAAAACTCGCGGTTCCATGAACGGACCGATAGCAGAGACCGCCGTAGAAAACTTCGTCTGTCCTAAATGCAACATCCCCTACACTAGCATAGATAATTTAGAGGCTCACAGTAGATATTATTGTAGTAAGGGTATCGACAGTTCTCGAAAAGGAGCCGATTATCATGCGGACTTAGAGAAACGAGATTCTGATTTCGATGTGAAATCTTCTGATTATTACAGTACCTTGCAACCGTTACCCTCGCCAGGTCCTCTGCTGGGTAATACCAGACTAGTCGACGCGTACGCTCCACCTGCTAAGAAGCAAAGAACGGAATCCGTGCCGACCAGTTTAAGATCATTGGAAGAGCTCAGCAAATACCCGCGTCCGAACTCGCTACAGATGTTCGGCGGTGAAGTGAGGATTCTCGACAACACAGGCGAGGTGACGAAAACGATGAGAATCGAGCCACGACAGACGAATTCGCCCACGAACGAGCACGTAGTCAACAGCAAGTGCATGAACTCGGAGACGGCGTCGATAGTGGTGAAATCGGGACTTCATTCTGGCGGTACCATGATGCACAAGCCGCCAGGCACATCGGCCAGCACGTCCAATTCTTCCATATCCTTGCCCAACGCGCCGAAGATATTGGCGCCCATCATACCGAACATATCAACCCCGAATATAGCGCCAACCATGTCCTGCTACGACTACTTGGGGCCTCTCAACCCGCTGACGAGTATCACTGCCTACAATCCGTTGACTCTGCCGCAAGCTGGTATCACGAATATCCTCCATGCTGGAAAGGTGATACCTTATGTACCCGGTATGCCCGGACCGCACACTCTGACCGGTACACCGACCATAGACATATCTCCGAGTATAACGGCCGGCGAAGCCGGTTACAAGGTGATACCAGGCCTACCGGGCCTACATATGGTACCTCAGCCGCTGGATCTGGCCAGTCCGGTGAAAGTACAGTCCAGCATGGTGCCTGGGATGCCTAGTCCGTTGTCTGGACATGTTCCTTCCATGTTAGATCAGCCTTTAGACCTGGCCAGTCCGGCGAAGGAATCGATGAAAATCAGCTTCAAGACACCCAACGGCGACGGTCTGAAGAGCGGTTTGACCAGTCCCAAAGTTCCTAGCGTTAAGGTTGAGACCTCGACGGACAAGTATCGCACGAGGGTACCGTCGACTCTCGGCGGAGAGACTGGTAAAACGGAGCTCGATCGTCATATCAAAAATAATACGACAGTGAAGTACAAGGGTATAGAGAGCCCGCGAGAGAGGAAGGATTTCACATACGACAAGAGCCCGAAGCTGGACAAGGCTTTTAGTTATCCGAACGGCGTGGACCCCACGATTTCTTCGAACTCTTACAGCAAAATGAGATATTCGCCCAAGACCATTTCGGAAAGTAGGAAGAGATCGTCAAATTGGGGAGTCAGTGAAGTGGATGCTGGCAGAGCAGCTCCGGTAGACACGCACACTGCAATCCCTAAGTACGACTTGCCTCCTCACGAAAATGGTCGATTAAAAAACAATGTCTCCTCGGATCCACGTGGATGGATCAAGATCGCGGATGGATACGGCGGATTCAACGGCGCCAAAATGAAGGCCGACAACGCGCCATCGGTGATACTTGTGAACTTAGATTCTTCCAAGACAGAAGTGCCAACGAAAACTTCCGTAGAATTAATTGTTAAGGACAAGCAACCCGAGGCCAAGTCGCCGAAAAGTGGCAGCGATGTCGCTAAAGAAACGACTAGTGCTAATAAGTTCTTGAGACCCACGTCTCTGCCATTGAAACCCGGTACGTTTACGCCGAAGAAGCATCACGGGATCACGCCCACGGCGAATACACTTCCTCTCATCAGTCCGGAGACTCCGCGACCCAAGAAGTCGTACGGACAACTATATCTAAATGGGCATGCCTACACATATCTGGGACTCAAGTGTTCCACCAGGTTGTTTTATTGTACCCTGAATCGACCGCAGCCAATGTATGTCACGCAGCAGCACGGTCTGTCGATGTACTCCAATTGGAAGATATGCAAGGAGGCACCACCAGACGTGGATATGGCGCACTACGACTCTCGGCATAGGCCTCTCAATTACACTACCGCGTGGAAGAAACAAGAGGACATTCTAACGCACTCCTCGCAAAGACCAACCACTCCCACCAGTCCGGACAGCGGATTAGAGAGTGACATGCAGGAGAAGACGAAAAGGGTGAAGATATTTGACGGAGGCTTCGAGAGTAACGAAGATTACACTTATGTGCGCGGAAGAGGTGAGATATATTTAAATATATTGTGTTTTTCAAAATAAAACGGTTTATGCAGTCATCAAAATTTTCTTAACGATCTTATTCTAAAATCTTCATATGTAGTACGTGCATGATGTAGTTTACTATTTTTTATTAATGTAATTCATAAAATTCGTAATATAATTCAATTTTCGTTAATGACGTTTTAGAGCTGTAATCTTAACATTGTAACTATTGCATTGAAATAAAAGTTTAATTATTACGTATATATTACATAAGGTCGAGGACGCTATGTCTGTGAAGAATGCGGTATTCGTTGTAAAAAACCATCTATGCTGAAGAAACATATCAGAACACATACGGATGTTAGGCCGTACACTTGCAAGCATTGTACCTTTAGGTAAGTTGAGATTTTTCCACGTAGCGCAGCAAGAAAATCTAAATTATATTTCTAACTTTAGTTTATTGGAATCATAATTAATTGTTTTTTTTTTCGACAGTTTTAAAACAAAGGGTAACCTCACGAAACACATGAAATCTAAGGCTCACTACAAGAAGTGTGTGGAATTGGGCGTAGTGCCAGTCCCTACAACTGTCTGCGACGAAAACATCGACAAGGAGGCTATCGCGCGATTAGTTGCCGGTGGCGGTAACGCGGAAGAATCCTCAGAGGAAGAGGAAGATAGTGACGGAGAAGAAAGCGAGGAGTCTGGTAGCGAGGAGCAAGAAGCGGCACAAAGTCTATTGAGTCTTTCGCAACGTAACACGTCGAACAGATTGCCGGGGTTGCTACCGTCTGGTAGACCCACAACGTATCCGTACACGTTAACTTTACCGACGACTTCCTCCGTGAGCGTCGCGCCCACCACCACGACTACATCGACCATGAGTCAAAGCGTCACCACGCAAGAAACAGCTCTGATCCAAAATGAATTATCGCACCGTTATTACTTCCCGTCGAACCGAAGTGCGACGGAAGAAACGAGGATCAGTGTCATTCAGTCGTCGAAGAAAGATGACTCTGACTTCGAGATCGAAGAAATCACTGATGTCACGGAGTCACGTCATCAGCTGTCGCAGCCCATGGATCTCACGACGAAGCAGACCACTCAGGTGTTGCCCTCGCCGGTACCGCAAAGGGTTAGACCCGCGGACATTCTGACACCCGTTTCGGAGCCGGTCCTGTTGCAGACGATAGTCCAAACGATGGAACGGCTGCCTATACAGGGTAGAGAATGGAAACCGGATGCGGAGGGCCACATGTTGCAGGCCTACCTCACGGAGAGACATGTAATGGACAGCAAAATTAAGCAGCAATACCGCGTCGGAAATACCAAGGTGGACAAGCAGATACAGGAAAGAGATGCTTACTCGCGTCATCAAGACCAAAACAGGTCCAGGCATATAGATTCCAACGGTATTCCAACGGTGACTTATACCGATCCCAGCAAGATGCAGCATACCGTTATGGAATCTAGGGTTAAACACATGACGAAGCACACCAGCGACGACATTAAGATGGAAATCAGGGAAAAGATTTATCAGAATAACATGGCGATAGAGAGACGAACGTTCGATTACGAGGCTATTCACAAGAATAAAGAACAGAGTAATCGTACAGTTTCTGATCGTGAAAATTTTGAGCTTGGTCTAACTAACGGTCCCGCTGGCACAAGGCCAGGTATCGAGTATGGACTATCTATGACTAGGAACAATAGTTCGATCGAGAGACCGAATTGCTCTATTGTACCTGTTCGCAGCACGTCCAGTATTGATTGCCATTCGCCGAAATCTTTGAATATGGACGTCAACAATCGACCACCGTTGATGCAACATACGAACAACGATATCGATAGAAGTTCCATGTTCAACGCGATGAAGATGGTGAGTGAGATGGAAAGACCTAGAGAATGCCATTCCGTCGGTCAGGAAATGAGGTCTGCGAATCACGAGATGAGAACCGCGACTAATGATGTTCGAATACAGAATCATAGTCCGCGGAATCTCGACCTAAGACCGCCCAGTAGAGAGATCAGAACGCCTGGTCAAGAATACAGAACGCAGAGTCAAGAGCTGAGGCTATCGAATCAACAGGAATACAAGATACGCGGTCAAGAGATAAGACCGCCTAGTCGCGAGTACAAGCCGTCGTTCGCTCACGATATGCAAGTCATTCAAGAGCTTATGCCGTCGACAAACATGGAAATCCGGCAAGCAAATCCGGATAATAGACCGCCGAGCCGTGACATGAGAACTCTCGCAGAATACAGGGCGCACGCCCAAGATCCACGTGCCAACTACGAAATATTGCAGCCTATACACGAGCCGCTCAAGTCGCAAAACGTAGACGCGAGAAGTACGTCACCGCAGAAAGTACGAATCCTCTATTACGATACGAAACACTCTGCGGACATGGCTAAACAGAATACGTTAGATAACATGAAACACGCGATAGCCGGAAAGGTAGTCGTCGGTGGGCCAGATTTTCGATCGCCGTCACCAAACACAGGAAACACGAAACCGCAAGCGGAATTTTTACAACCGTCGAGTGGACCGGCGCCTAACTATGTCAGGTAAGTGAAATATTTTTAAAAACTTTATTTTTTAATTAAATGCATTTTCTTGACGCATAGGATGCATATAATAATAGTATTATTCATTATTACGTTAGATACACATATTAGAGTATTCTAATATGTATCTGCGTATACGATAGTATGATAATATTTAAATTCTATTCATTAGAATTATCAAAATAATTTGAGTTGTAAAAACTGAAATTATGAAATATGATTTACAGTGTCACGGAAGATGGTAGGACTGCGTGTGGGATTTGTAATAAGGTGTTCAGCAAGCCTAGTCAGTTACGGTTGCATCTCAACATTCATTATTTCGAGCGGCCGTACAGATGCGAAAATTGTGCAGTTTCTTTCCGGACTAAAGGCCACTTGACGAAACATGAAAGATCCGTTTCCCATCACAATAAGGTAAATGATGATTCAACTTTATTTTCATTAAGAAACGTTATATGTTTTGCACGAGTGTACAAGTAAATATTATATTATTAGGTCAGTATGACTTCTACGTTTGGCGCGGCAACTACCAGCAACCCCAGGCCTTTCAAGTGTACAGATTGTAAGGTAGCATTCAGAATACATGGACATTTGGCCAAGCATCTTCGCAGCAAGATGCACATCATGAAGTTAGAGTGCTTGGGCAAACTTCCGTTTGGAACCTATGCGGAGATGGAAAGATCTGGCATCAATTTGAATGATATCGATACGACGGACTGTGATAATAGTCTTAATAGTCTGCAGGTTCGTACTAAACAAATCGTAACTGCGCGCAGTTTTTAAATCCGACGAGGAAAATGCCGCGATAAAACGAATTTTTTTCGCGTCTTCTTCGACAGATGTTGGCTCAAAAATTAGGCGAGAAGGATCCGGCAAAGATCGCGCAGTGGGACTCGGAAGCTCTGCCCGGACCGGTCGTGAGCGGCAGCGAGACCTCGTCGGATGAGGGTGAGCCTATACCGCAGCACGCGCTTCACGCGCAATACGTGAAAGCGGCAACGGACGCAGACATCTCCCGACCATATCACATGTCGATCGTCCCCGAGAAACCGAAAGCTATTAACGACGTTCGCCTCCGCAGCCCTCAGTTCAATCAGCAGAGACGTGATTACGCCGTTAAAGAGCAGCGACTGATTTCGGCGGTCGTTTCAATGGAGGACGCGAGAGGAGCGGAGGACAGTTTACAATCGTACAAGTGCCAAGTTTGCCCCGTATCTATGCGTACCGTAAACGAGTTACAGGTACACTGTTTTGTTGAACATAATATTGAGACGGATTCTAGTACAAATATTCACGGAGACAGGAGTGCGGGTAAATGTAGCAGGGAAAAAGAGAATACTCAAAAAAGAATTATGGAGGAATCCGCAGTGAAGGAAGATCACAAAAGACAAAGGATAGTGGATACATAGTGCCAAAACAATATAGCGTGCTAAAGAATTTTTCGAGTGGTGTCTGCCATACTACTTAGAGAAATCGCGGTTATAATAATAATATATCATATGTGGAATGCATCACAGAGATATCTTAATAAAGAAATCTCGGTCGTCCTAAAAAAATATATTTCGGTAGGGTAATACGATTAATGATGATTTATGTTTGAAGAGATGTTTCTTGAAAATTAATGTTGCAGAAATTTAAACGAAGCGTTATTAGAGAGCTGCGTGCAAATACAACAATGCAATTGAAAATTTTACGTTGCCGTTACGAAATATTTCGCAAATTTCTGAGGACTTTACAAAAAATTATCCAAGCGTAAAAAAATCTGGACCTAGAGTAATATTCGAATACCAATAAATACATAACGAAATACATGTTAACATCAGCGATGAATTACATGGTATCGAGTACGTTTCCTTTATTACAGCATCAATTCTAAAATTGCGTGCTTATATTGTAAACGTATATAACTTGTATAGTCCTCCTGTAAAGATTTTAAACTCTTTCTATTCTTTCTCTTAAAAAGCGGCACGTATAACGCGTAAAGTAAAAAAGAAAAAACACAATTCGAGTATCTAATAATGATTATAATATTTATACACAATAGTGTTTCTCGTAGTAAACATGAGGTGCAATGGACTGGCATGTGATTCTATATATTTAAAGCACAAATGTGTTACTTTCGACATATTGAAGAGTATTCTAATATTACAAATGAATATTATACTTTAAATTGGTATATGCAACTTATATACACACACGTATATATATACATATATATATGTGTATATATATATATATTTGTACGATATTAGTATGAACAATTATGAGAATTATTGTTGACGTAAGAGAAAATGTGTTTGTATATATTTATGTATAATATAACGAGAAATCATGTTAGAGTCTCTATTATAGTTTTAAGAAATCAAGAAGCTGTGTCGGTTGCTCAGATTACTTGTAAATTTAAGCGCTTTTAATTCACACGGTAGATTCTTTAGTTTCCCCGTGTCTTTAAAAGATTTTCCTTGTAAGCAAAAGTCAAGTGTGGTGAAGTATCTTAATAAGTTTTTATTTTATCGGAAACATTGCTGAACGTTTAGTTACCTTCGTATTCTGATATTATTAGTTATTTTTTAATCCTAATCGATCATGTTTGTTGTATCGTTCTGAGGGACCGATTCGCTGATTCTGTTCAAGATAATTAAGCCTCCTGTTTTCTCGCTGCAGTTCTATTGAATTATCCACGTTGAAAGCGAAAACTTACATGAATTTTTCTCGCACATTATATGTATTATATAATAATTATATATTAAATTATATATAATATGATATATTATATATAAAATATATTATATAATTTATTATATATTATATAAATTATGTATCTTATATAATCTGTCGAGCAAGCGGAAGCATGTGGAAAATCAAATTTATTTCAACATGGAAAAACAGCTTCGCCTGATTTCTCGCTGGTGGCCTTATAATACGACTGCAGTGAGCAGCTTGGAGAGGCTTATACACCTTCCACGAGCGACAGCTACCGTATCTTTATAATTAACCGTCTATCTAATGCTACACGCAGTTTTAATATTTCACTCAAGCACGAGAATGTCTTTCCTATTCCGCATAATCAGACTCCGGTTATCACGGTTTGTACCTAAAATAGGTGTGCTTGAGCCCAGGATAAAAAAAAGAAAGAATAATACGGATATATAATGTAGAACGAGACGACCGCACAAGGTATACAAATGAGGTCCAGTCCGCGTGATGTTTCACACTAAACGATATCAGTGTAGCCGTAGTCTAACATAGCATTTTTTGGATGTATATCTACTGTCTTGTAATTCTGTCGACTCCGACCGCGCGTTAACTACGTATGAGCTTCCAGGATGCGTACACGCATCGTCGTGTGCATGTATGTGTGTGCGCGCACACACCCGTAAATGCCAAGCCAACAATTTGCGTTCGATGGGAATTTGTCGAGAGGGAGCGGATACACGCCTTTTCGGAATTGACCTCCGAAGTGGCGACTCTTCCACGCGAAACGCGACATTTTCCAAAATTATACACGTCTAACGCACATCTACGTATATATATATATGTATATCTCTCTCTTTCTCTCGGCTACTTGCATGCGTACTTATATGTGATTTCGAATGTACTTTTTCCAAATTGTAGATTCATATTACGATATACACATATACATATATATTTTTTCGAAACGTTGTCGTAGAAGTATCGCGTGTATTTTCCGTCGTGCACGTAGCGAGCGTGTCGTACATACATATCAGAATATCGCCGCGGTATTCCCGGTATAATTGACCCGGGGGACGGTGGACGGCGTCGTTTGAAACCCAATATGGCGCAGGTGCGAGTTAGGTTTTACTCACGGGGTTCTGCCGCAGATCTTCGCCCGCGTGCTCTCTGTCCCTGGCCTCCTCGAACAGCTCCGGATCCCGGAAGCGCGCACTCGCGATCGCGAACGCCGAGGATCACCCTCGCGTGTCCCGTCGGCCGCCGAAGACGCGATCGCGCGCGGAAAACTCGATCGCGACGCGGAAACCGTCGCGCTCGCGGGAGCAACTGTCGCGGCGCGGATGCACACTGAACGTAGCCGCGGCCCGCGATTCGAATCCTCGAACGCTGATGAGCCTCCCGTAGTGTGTTGCGTTATTAATGTCCATTCCTATCAATGCAGATTAACTTTTAATCTCGGTTTAACTTACTTCTTGTCTTTTTCTGATTGTTAGAATTGGAAGAAGATAAGAAGTAAAGTAAACCCATTAAAGTTATCTACATTGATAAAAAAAAAAGACAATCGTTTCGGTTAAACGGCCACGCGGTTCTTACGGATAAATTGCGAAAAACTGAGGAACTCCCCCTTCTACATGAATAATTATTTTTGCACGATGTTGTATGATTAATTGATCAAGTTTGGATATATTACGTTCAAAAAGGATATTACGGAATGATTTTGACATGTAGCTATAAAATACAGAGAGACTTTTTTGTTTAAAACTTGAGCACAATTTCAAGACGATCTTTCGACCGTTGCTTCTTTCGCGCACGTCGAATTTCTTCATAAATCGAGAGAGTTGTTTTCATCAGATTCATGAACGTTTCTAAATGATTAATGGGACTCATAAAACATGACGAAACGTGCTTAATCATACATATATATCGCTTATCTGATTTAAGGAGCCAACGGAAGAACAATTCTAGTTACGAACTAGCTGTACACACACTTTAAATTACAGAAAAAAATATCACCGGATACAACATAATATATATGATTAATAATAATTTCCATGTCTAAATGTGCTATCAGAGTTTCTCCTGTTTTGAGATAAAAGTCGGTCAGTTTTTCGCACCGAACGGTCCGATATTATTATTTTCTACCTTCGCATTTCGGAACAGATTCGACCGTGTATCACGAGCGTGCGATTAACACGTTCCAATTGCATCTCGGTATCTTCCTTTACATGCGCACTGTTATTATTATATGCATACTGTACAGTCTAATAATTCGGGTAAATGTTTGTTAAGACGATTCGACATACTTTTACGACATATTTACGATATTCGATTAAATAATCTATATTGTGATAAGTAACGGAAAGAACCATATGGCGAATATCCCGACTAATATCCTAAAGTAAAAGTACAAGCGTATCTGTTAAAAAAAATATATTAAAAAATAGAAAGGAAACAGAGACATTTATTTTGTCGATAGCGCGCATCTCCACGCGCTCGCGTCTACGTTTTTCGCGAAAAAGGTTGGCTTGGCTTAATTGGCTTCTTCCAGACTCAGTATTAGACTTCGCGGACAATGAAAAAAAAAAGAAAGAAGGAATAGAAAGGAAAGGTCGAGCTTGCACGGGTTTCTAGACGGTGTTGCACCGATTTACATTTTTACGGAGGCACAGAAATCGGGTTACCTCGTCGCCCGAATTCACCCGCGGTGTCTCCGAGAAAAAAAAAAAGAAGAAGAAAAGACTCTCCGCTCCGCTCCATATCTTTATGGATGATTTAAATTTTGTATACGCGCAGCGTGCGAACGGTGACACTTACAAACACCTGGCGGTATAGTATTTTATATGTATTATAGGATCTCTTTAAGATTTTATAAATGTTTTTTCATGGAAGAGAGAGAGAGAGAAAGAGAGAGAGAGACGGGAAGGGTGTATCTCGTCTTTGTGCTCGCGCAAACACGTCGTGTACTCCTGCGAGCTCTGGGCTTCGACAAATCACGACTCCATTTGGAGTTGTAGCTTTGTCGCGCGACCTCTCGATCGAAACCGACCGTATATATCGGGCCGTTTTACGCCCGTATATATGTTATATATCAGACAATGGGACCGGAGTGAAAATTTTATATAAGCGTATACTCGAGAAAGTGACAAACGGGATTTACGGTAATAACGCCAACGAGCTTTGCCAGTGTCACCGCCACTTCTCTTCCCGACTCTGTGAATTCTGTTGAACTATATACATTGATGAGAATGTAATTTTTATTTATTGTAAATAAAAGAAGGAACATTGCTTAAAGCATTTTGTATAATTGTGCATTCTGAATATTATACACGAAGAGACAGATTCTGTCGAGCGGTGGAATTATCCATTGGATCCAGGGATTATAAACGCAAATTGTACGAAGAGAGATTCGTGATAATACGAATGTGTCTTTGTATATGGTGATTTTGCGGGAACGATAGTACAACTCTAGGAACGGGAAATAATGTGGGGACAGGAATAAAGTTAATTTCCGGTAAAATACTGTATTGTTTTTATTGAAAATCAGGTGACCCTTATGTACAAAATAAATTATTCTAACGAATCTAGAAAAAATTAACGTATCTTCATCGTCCGTCGCTCGCTGTTCTTATCGTGCATCAAACACAACGACTGCAAATAGGGTTAAAGAAAACATCTCGATATTTTGATCGATTCTTATGTTAAACGTGTTGAATTGAAAATATTAAAAAAGGATACGTCTCTTGGTGCGCTTCTTGTACATGATTCGGTATCCGCATTCCCTGCATCGAATTGGATCTCTGGGACGAATCTCGTTATCGTGATGGCATTCTGAAATAACAAGTTTAAAAAACTAAAATGATTACATGAATTACGTATAAGAACAAAAATAGCTCTTTGTGGCAATTTAACTATACGGCATATAATGTTCGAGAAACTTCTCTTACTAGAAAAACGCTTAAATACAATTTGCCCATTTCAGTAAACAATTTATATAATTTATAAAATGACAGTATCTTAAACTTTAAAAAATGCACATATAAATACGATTAATTAGATAAAAAATTGGCATCAATATATCAAGAGCTGTTATTTACAAAAAAGTGAGGTTAGGGAATAGTCGAACATGCGTATCTTTACCTCCGCAAATGTATACCATAGCTTGTTTCGGCGTGGAATCGGATTTGCTGGATTCCATTTTAACACTGTTGCAATGTAACAATTAATATTATGATTCGAGCAAATCTTCGTGGAATAAAAGAACCGTCGTCGACACAACGACACACTCAATCAGAAGAGAAGATCGATTCTCGAATAAAGAATAAAGCAGTGATGTGATGGTACTCTTGGTAGTGATAAGTCGATAAGTGAAGTCTTATTTTAGTACATACAGCCCATCAACAGATGACGCTAGTAGTTGCACCAATTACGGCAATCGATTTTTTTCAATTATACAAATTGAAACAACACAGATTATAAGTCAAAATTAAATGTCGGTTTATATTTTTTATATAAAAAAACAAACGACTATAGATAACGTTTCTCTACGTATTTTACGTAGAGTAAAATTCAAAATTAAAATTAACAAAGATCTAATTAATTTTCAATTGTCTAATCATACCTCTTTTGTTTAATGTAAAATGAAATCTTTATTGGTATCCTTAGTTCATATCCTAACAGACGTTCATATCCTTTGAAACGCCGCGCGACACGCGTCGCGTCGCCGAAATTCGAGAGGACGACGAACAATAACGAGCGAGAGAAAATCTCCCCGGCAACACAAAAGCTCCGAGCGCGCTTGCAGCATCCGGCGCGGCTCGGCCAATAGGGCCGCTTGGCAACGAACGGCGGGACGAGGCGGCGCCCGTGATTCGTCGATCGGCGCGCGTGGCGGCGATTGGTGGGGGAGGATGAGGCACACGGTGAGAACGGAATTTACGAACGCGCGGCGTTCAATGTGTCGGTGGAACGTTGGAGCGTGTGGGTACACGCCAGAGGGAGAGCTCAGGCAACCGGGTGCGTGCGCACGTTTCCTTGAGCCGCGCGCGCACCCCCGAGCGCCGCTCAGTGAGAATTTGCCGAGGGTGCGCGACGTGTTATGTGCGTGGTTGTCGCGGGGTGACGATCGAGAGGCTGAGCTGTGCGAGTCGCGTAATTACGTGCGACAAGATCGATATTCGCGGCGATAGGATAATTCGGAGCGTGCCGGCCTCTCTTGTTTACGAAGCGCCGCATGGCGGGAGGGGTGGTCTTTCTCCGTGCGACGGTGGCCGTCGCCGTCGGCGAGCGGCAGAAGGGATGAGTGAAAGAGAGAAGGGGGAGGGAGAAGAAGCGCCGGTCCGGCGGACATGAGGCGCGCGCGTTTCCCGCGCGACGCACACGTGAGTACAGCGCGAAGCGAGGCGAGTGTCAACAGCGGGAAACGTCAAGCGCGACGGGACCGCTCTCGCCGGACTTCACGGCGACGGACTTCATCGGCACGTCGGGAAGACGAGCGAGTGCCGCGGAATGACATTCGTGCGAGCTGGACTGGAGCCGGAATCGCGGTGAAGAATCTTCGGGAACGCGCCTCGGCGGCCCTTCCTCCCGCGTGACACTGGTGTAAACAGACGATTCGCGAGTGAGTGCGAGGGTGAGGTGACAAATCCGAAAACGGGCCCGTTTTTGCGCGTCGCGAGGCACGTGCGATCCGTCGCCCCGTCGGCCATCGATTTCTCGGTGATTTATCGCGTCGAGGTGCGCCGTTTCACGCGTTCGAGATTTAATGAAGATTAAACACCGATAGGTTAAGACCTTTAAGAGTAAATACGTGTTTACGTACCTGCCCCGAACGGAGGCAAAAGTGATTTTCGTATCTTATCTCCGCGGTGAACGGAAGATGGAAATTTAAGTGAACCATTTAGAAAGGTCGCTGAAGTTAATAAACAAGCGTGAAGAAGCCACACCGCCTCTGCTTGCCGATAGGTAACAAAGCTCGTAGATAACAAAGTGATAATTTTAAACGTAACGCCCGACTAACACGGGAAATACAACGAGGCGTCGTACGGTTTCGCAAATTCGATGGCGACGCCTGTACCGCTCGACACGCCGCATCGGGTGCACCGTTCGCGTGGCGTCCAACCGAAAGCGACGTAGTCGCTCTTTCTCTCTCCCCGGAAGTCGAGCGTCGATAGTCTGAATTTTTTCGAGTCAGCCGCGGATGAACGACACCGTCCCGAGCGCGATGGAGGACGTCGACGGCATGCAGCACGTCGTCCAGACGCCGCGCGTCTCCTCCGTCAGCAGCAGCTCCCACGACAGCGTCGACAGCGGCTACCTGTCCATCGTGACGCCGCAGACCGGCGGCTGCACCCCGAAGATGGTCACCGGCTACAGGACCCGCTCGTCCACCGGCGCGTTGCTCTCCGCCAGGAAGCACAGGTACCACCGTCCGGAGCCCTTCCAGTGCGAGAAGGTGCTGAGGCACCGCTCCAAGTTCAGCCATCGGCTGAACATCTCGGAGCTCGACTACCTCGTGTCCGAGAACCCGGTCTCGGAGCAGGACTCGGTGCTGGAGCCGTCGTGCACGCACGTCGATCGGAGCCTCAGCCTGGTGCACTCCACCCCGAGCTGCGCCAACGACGAGCTCGGCAAGGCCCTCAGGAACACGAGAAACTGGAGGACCACGGTGCCCGTCACCCCCGCGTCCGCGGACCTCCAGATTCTCTCGCCGCCCCCGTCGCCGGCGGTCCCGTCCTCGTCCTACGTGGCCTCGGAGCCGATCCAGGAGGACGCGGAAATGAAACTAGTCCGTACGCCGCGGGGTAAATCGCAGCGGGTCACGACCCCGCCGAGACTCAAGATACCGCAGATCGTGATTTCGCAGATCTGCACGGGCGGCACGCCGACAATAACGTCGACGGAGAATCGCAAATTGCGCGATCTACGTATCACGGAGTTGGGGGCCACGTCCGAGATCAAGCCCAAGAAGCTGGACTTCAGCCAAAGGGCCACCCTGGACTACACGGGAAGGGAGAAGGTGGATTTCTTGTTTCTTCTCGGGGAGGAGAGCAACCATTTGCCTCTGGTATCCAAGATCCTGTCTTTTCTTTCGCCTCAAGATCTGTGCTCGGCCAGTATGGTGTCGAGGGTGTGGAAAAGGATCTGCAAAGATGACTCCTTCGCCAACAGGCGAAGAATGAGTTTTATCATGCGGAAGAACACCGTCAAGGAGAACCTGTGGCTGTTGGCGATAGCGAAGAAGGCGAAGCACGAGGACGATATACAGACGAGTCCTAGGAGCAGACGTTACGTGCGGAAGGGACACCTGCTGGATGTACAGAACTTGCTGCACGTTCCGCCGCAGCCGAACAGCCCGCCTGTATCACCGAGCAAAATCAAGTTTCATTCCTTCGTCAAGGTAAGTCAAGTCAATTAATTTACTCGTGATGTATGTTTAAGTACATTACGATTGAAGGGGACAAATCATGATTAATTTTTCTACTTTATATTTCGATAGAAATTTTATTCTTATTTTAAAGATATATATATAGCAATTCGTATATATTCAAACATTTGCGTTTATCTCGTAGAAATTACGACGCGACTTCGAAGAAATGATCGAATCTTAGCGGTAGAAATGCACTCGTGAGAAAACTCATGGTAAAGTCAATGACTGACGCGAAATGTCGCAACTTTAAAAGAACCACGTACGCTACATTTCTCAGGGTTCTCGTATTCGACACCCGCGGGAGCCGGTAATGCATGTAAGAAGTTGCATTCTGACGAGAGTCGTGTTCATCGTGTTTATCTCGTAACAGCCAGATAATTCGGCGTCCGAGAAATAAGACGAGCTCATTTCTTTGATACGATACGTGTCTCTCGGTCTAATTGAATAATGATAATCTACAATGGTCTGAGACGCGCGAGCAACAGAAAAAACGATTGTGTTTCGTTGAGGTGATCACGTCCAGCCAATTCTTGACAGCATTACGTTGCAGTTTTTGATGTATAATATACCGAAAGTGTATTTGTATTCGCTAATTTAAACGTGATTATCTCTTGATTTATTGAGAGTGGACGCAATATTTTTGATATTTATATTTTGAGAACACAATATGTTTGTTTATTCTTTCATCTATCAATAATATATTATGAAAACTAATAAGAAATATAACTAATAGATATATGCAACATCTTTCTTAACCCTGCGCAAAAATGCGCAATTTTTCGTAGAATTTTGGGTATTTTTAAAATAAATAATGATCTTTTCAACCTTTTCATCTAAAAGAGAAAGAACGGCTGGAAGGGTCGAAGGCCCTTTGCAGATGTGCAAAGCGTCGCGTTTTCAGCTCAAATTTTATAAGGCCGGTTCTACAATCAGTCGTACATCGGAGTCGGATGTCGGAACGTAGCCGATGGTCCAATGAGGAAAATTCGTTTTCGAAAAAAAAATTATTTCATTGGACCATCGGCTGCGTTCTGACATCCGACACGAGAGAAGAGTACACGGAGCATAGAAAAGTCTCTTTGCATATATACAAAACTGCGCACTTAAGAATTAAAATAATTTGATGTAATTCAACGTGATAGCTATTGTGCATTGAACTGTAATACGATTTAATTATTAGTTCGAGCAGTTATACAATTCCTCACAATTGTTAATCTGATTTTTGTACTTTTGCAAAAAATTAATCTTTTGTTGCTATACACAATGCATTAAAAATTAGGCAGGCGATGTTTTACTTGCGGCAGCGTATATACTGCTCTATTATAACATTACTTTTACCGCAATACACATAATTAATAAATAATCGATCTCCCTACATAGTCGATCGTTCTGCTAGACTGCATAGAGCATACGGCGTGTCGCGTCACATCGGAGGAACCCGTAATTAAGGATGCTGGCTCGTTCCTCTTCGTTCGTAGACTGGTGTTCGTCGTTTTGGCGCTCGTAATTCACGCGAGAGAGCAGAAACACGACGGCTAATTACCCAGCCAGCGATAATCGATAGCCCGGTAGTCCTCCAGGATTTCCTCGACTAAATTGGCATTCGCATAGTTCGCGCGCGCGAAATCGAATCGGGGTCGGGTAATTGTTTCGATTGTGAGATCATTACTTTGACGTTGATTTATCGTCATTTTGGCTTTGAGTCGCCGCGAAGGATAATTGCTTCGTGGGTCGTTAAGGCTCGAGATAAGCAAGGCCCGTCGACGGTGTGCAGAATTTGACGGATGTTTCTCAATGATGAGATTCTGCGTGTTTTGCATAATTTCATCTCGTACATAGTAATTTGAAATCCATGTCGCGATATTCACACAATTACACTTCAACGCAATCTGAAACTTGCATTTATCGTTAGTATAGCCACGTGCTTTTTTATAATTTTATCGTGCATACTGATTAAAATTAAACAATGCAATATCAAAATCTTAGACTTAATATAACGGACAAGAAATTTAAACAATTTCCGTTCTTAAATAAATCATAAAAATATATATCATATTAATCTATATTTTTTACAATATATGTATATTATATTATTTTATTAATATTAAAGAAGTTAAGACATGTTATTATGGCGACATGAATGGTTTTCTTCATATCCTGGATGCAAGAAAATTGCCTCGTCAAATGTGAATGGCCCTCGGTGCAATTCCACGAGGAATTACGACAGGCGTTCCAACTTTATGTAACATTTATGAATATTCTGCGGTACATTGTGTCATTTCCGCACAAATGCTCCTATTACGTTTTCGCTTGCGGTTCCGCTGGACGTCCATAAACTTGAGCGCGAGTTTCGAGTCAAAGCGGCGAAGCAAACGCGATGATTTACTCGCGGAAATCAGTCAGACGACGGCGTGAAGAATCGGTGACAGAGTGATGTACGTGCTTTCTCGTTCCCGTCGTCGGCGGGGTACCTGCCACCTCTCTCCCTCCGACACTCTCTCTCGTTCTTTCTCTCGTCGAACGAGCGACGCATTCCTCCTCGCGTTAGATTGTAATAGCGGATGCAAGTGGCATACCTCGAGATCCTTTGTTGCGCGCGCGAAACGATAGCGAGGCCCCTGTGTTCGCGCTCGTGTCAAAGTCAATGCCGACCATACATCCTTATTGCCATTCTTTATCGCCGTGGTGGAACGCAACGACAAACGATGAAACGCGCATTGTCGACTTGCACGCGTATTGCATCTCGCTTAAGAGATAATAGATTGCGAAAGCTCGTTGCTGAATGGGCATCAAAATGAATCTTCGAAGTGATCATCTTAATTGTAGTTGTAAGATTTCATCGTAAAATTAGGTTTCGAGTTCCGAGATCTCACATCATCAATCTCACACGGACTACCGTTTAAAAATGATATCAACGTACATTGTCGAATTTGCATTTGAAGTCTTTCTCAAATTTAATGTCGGATTATTGATGGCCGAAATCATATAGATAATCTTTTCTCTTTGTTTATTTCCTCGGCTTAGTTAAGTAATATCTCTATGAGAGAAGAAAATGTCGAGAGATGATTGAGTTTAAGAGATCGCGCGGGAAGATGGCGAAAAGAAATTGCGATGTAAATGGTGATCGGATCATAAATAAATTCTGATCGCGACGCGTTGCAGAGAAAAATCAACGTTAACGTTCGCGAACGAATATGCAACGTAGTGTTTTAATGCTCTCTACCAAAATCGAGTCTGGCAGACGATATATTAGAGCGAGGTCCCCGTGTCTCCTTATGCACATCCAGAGAGAGCCGCGCTAGCGCTCGTTTCTTCTCTGGATCGCAAATCGGCCTGCGGTAAAAACCGGCCACAGAGAGAACAATGCGAATATATTATGGTATCTGGCACTAAAACAAAGGGCGGGTAGAGCCCTTTAGTCTTTTACGATAGTCGTGCGAGAATGCCAAACCACAAACAAATGGAAAAAAGATACGAGAAGCGTTTCAACTGCAAAACTTAAAGGATTGTCATGCTATGCAGAAAGATAAAAAAATGCAGAAAGATAAAAAAAATTAATACTTATATCACCTGAATAGTGCCATTAAATTTAAAATTTTATATAGAATATAGACTTTATATTTTAACTGTCAATCTTTTGCTTTATTTAAAACAATATACCTTTAAATAAATTTAAAAAAAAGTATAACAGATTTTTTGAAGGAAATTGTTTAAAGAAAATTTATTACTGTGGTATTGGATTTTCATAGATTTGCGAGTAAGGAAATCCCGGTCTCGGTTTTGTTTTCCTCGTATTTCTCTGATTATTTTGGTACTCTTAGCTACTCAGACACAGCCTTGCGGGATGCTGTAGAAAGTTCACGATGAGATACGGTGTGACCGTTCATGAGAACGAATGTGCGAACGTCCTTCCCTTGATCGTTTCTGTCAGCGATGCATAACTGCATAACGCCTGACTAAAACCATGGTAAAATCGGCAATTACTCATTCAATCTCGCTAAAACGAAAACATTAATCTTTAGAAATTTAGGTATTTTCTTTTAATTTGTATTTAATAAATGCCATTGATTATAAACATTAATTTCATTCTCTATTTTTAATAAAGAGTAAAGGAATATTCTGTATATATATATTTTTTTTTTAATATTTTAAATCGAGTTATAAAAATTTTGAACACTCTTAGACGAAAAGATAAAGTTGTGCTTCCGACTTTATAATAACGTCCGTCTTTTTATTACAATCGGAGGAAATTAATTTCGCGACGAACCGGATGAAGATAGTCCCGCAAGGAGGAAAGGCAATTTTCGACGAAAGAGGAAGGAAGGAAGGAATTGTTCCCTAATTAGCAACGGCTGCGCGGAGTCCGTTGAGTGGCCGTCTAACGTTGTCAGTCGCGGGTCTGTCGACTGCGGGTGTTTCCTGTGAAAAGGAAGACTCCTTGCGCAGCCCCTTTTTCCGGTGGGTGCCTTGACAATTTCGTAGGCGACGCGCTAGAATCCGGTCGAGCGAGTCTTCCGTTTTGAGTTTGAAAAGAAACGAATCGACACGAAGACAACTAACGTTTTAAAGTATAATTCCAATCACGATATCGGCGATATCGGCAAGATTGACGATATATACACATAGTCTTCGGAGATAGATCCTTTCGGAATTCTTTATAAAAAATTACATTAAAACATTACATAAGCCAAAAAATAGTTTTATGTACTCGATAACAATTTTTAACTCTCGCTTCCAAGAACTAGGAAAATTTCTTGAGAAGCGTGTATATAATTTATGAGGTAGAGAACATTGTAAATTAGTGACGATGCATAATGTTGTAATAATATTTTACAAATATTCAAGAAGTTTTATTTTTGTTGCAACTTCCTTTCTCAACTTTCTTGGCTGTTTCATTTCTCAAATGATTCATTCATTTAATATCGAAGTAGCGAACTTGTGTATATGCATGCAGGATTACAAGTCGCGAG